TGGCAGACCAAAGACAGACTCAATTCTATTATCAATCCTATGATGAATACCTAAAAATCTGTTCTAGTAGCTTCAAATAATTATTAGAATTTTAATATTTGTGTTGATATTACATGTCCAATACCGTACAATGTACCCATCAATATTAGATAACTACATGTACATGTACCAGCACAAGTACGATATATACAAGATACAATATACCCACACAACACTAGATACATGTGGTATACAAGGATACAATATACCCACACAACACTAGATAATATAATGATACACAAGTACACATATATATATATATATATATATATATATATATATATATATATATATATATATATACATTCAGGACATGGTACAATATGATGACTCATAAAATAGATGTGCATCATAAAATATTTACTAATCTGTGTAATAATAATATCCATGCAGCACTATGGCCTACTCTTATATTGAATTCCAACTGCCATTGGATCTTTTACACACATGTCAATGTATACACAGGACTTGTTTTTCGTTCCATCCGCACGTCTAGACAGCTGTCCCTGTCCACCACCCCCCCCCGTCCTGCACCACTGACAAGACGAAACCACGTCGGAAAACATTAGAAATATAAAATATATGGAAGTGTAGATTGTAGCATCCCTGGCATGTACACGGCATACAAAATACATGACATACCTGTATCTGTGTACTACAACAACATTCTCAATATTTTTTTTATATTTTTGGCAAATAAAGACAGCGATGATTTAAACACAAACCTGGTCATAATAACCTAGACAATTGCCAACAGAAACTATGGAAGCTTAGACAATATATGAGTAAGCAAGAATGAAAGACTTGTTGATAAATACATGATAATATTAACCGATATTCCTAACAAAACACATTTTTTGGCCCATCCAAATAATTAGATATTGGTATTCTTCCTTGCCAGACTCTGCATCCAGCACCACTAAAGGGAATACAGGCTAGAAAATCCTAAAGAATTCCCCAAGTGACAACTCACTGGATGTAACACAGAACCTCCTGCTATGTGAGCCAGCACAGAATGAAAGACAGCAATTCCATTCTCTAAGAGACAAGTTTTTCATCCAAAACAAACAACTAGACAGTTTTCCTTACCAGACCATTCATCCAGCACCACTAAAGAGGAAGGCTGGAAAATCCTGAGGAATTACTTGGATGACACTGGAAAGAAAACTCAGAAGTTCCTGGTAGTGAGCCAGCATCATGGCTCCTACAATGAAGGAAAATACAATGTGATTTGTGTTCTCAAGTAAATCGCTACATGTAAGTAAATCAAGTAAGTTTGACTAAGTCCAAAACAATGCTGTGGTTTCCAGAGGGTTTTGTCAAGGTGCTGTCATGAATGGTTGATTCCAGTCACAAACAACCAGTCCATATGAAAAGAAGTGAACAAAAAAGGGAACACGGTAGAAAAAAAAAAATCATGAATAAAAATCCTAGATTAGTCTATTTTATAAAGTGCATTCTTATTGATTTTATCTTTTTATCTTAAAATTTCTCTTGACACAAAGAAGTCAGCACCCACAATAACTCTACTTTCAATTTCTATCATACTTTAAATGGTACATTGGAAAGACACAACAATTATTCGATCATTTTCATGTGTTCTGTTGTCTGTATCCGACCCACGAGCAGCTGGTCCTGATTTATTGTTATTCTAATAATGAAGCTTAGCAAGATGTCGTAAATACCATTCAATAATATGATAAATAATGCAGCCTTTTGTAGGCTAGCTCAGGTAAAACCGGTGAGGCTAAGCATTAAAACAAATACCTTATAGAATTCTACACAAATACATGTATGCACGCTTACACAACACATACATGTATCACATGTAGCATTTAAACAGTTTCCACATGTACATGTATGTAATGATATCTACATATATTTTTTAGGACAGAAATGATACTAGATCATTATTTAGGTTAAAAAAAAATAAAGAGTACAAATGTAATACAGAATACTCTTGAATACTCCATAAAAATATCAAAGATTAACAACATTTTAAGTTTTGTTATAAATAAAATGAAATGGGGGTTTAACATCCTTCTATTCTGAACAGACTGGTCTAATAACGACAGGTTATATTACAGACATCATGGATATTGAACTTGTACACATGTGTACCGTTATAACTATTGTCTGCAATGTAGGATGTAAGTAAAGGTGTACACATGTTCTTGCTATTAAGGTTTAAATACATATTCATGTATGTCCAAATTCATCCCTGTTTTACAAGACAAATCAATATGAAAATATGTATATATCATTATATGTTGACCCATCTTAGAATGATTAGAGTATCCCACCCATAACCCAATCTCCATGTTTTTTTACGGTTATTGTCGATTCCATGTGTAATGTCTACCTATCCAAAAATGTTTAGAGTACTCCCGACCAACAATCCAAATTTGTCTCTTTATAGAACATTAGTGTCTGGGACCATAGTGGAATCCAACACTTATCACTGTAATAGCAAATCAGAGAGTTGTGGTGCATGTATTGTAAGTTATTGTTCGGCAAACTATATCAGGTAATTGTGACCTATCAAATTTAATTTGACAAAACACCAGGGCAACATGACATCATATCTACCATAACTAAAACTTCAAATATTTTTATGTTTTCAACAATAACTTTGATCTAATGCCAAGACCTTGAATCAATCTAATGATTCAGATTTAATTCCCATCTTTCCTTCTATTGATTGCGTGATAGGATTAGACAATGGTTGTAGTAAACAGACTGACATTAGGCGGCCATTTGTAAATGAAGGTATAGGGAAACATCCATCACATCTGTTGTAGAAGTCAGTCAAATAAACCTTTAGACTAGAATGATGAAAAATTACCCACATTGTACATGTAAAAATAGAGGGGTAGTAGAAAGAAATATATTATACAATCTGTTATCTATCTTCATCATTGACTCACCTATTTCTATTTTAGGGGGTTTCTTGTTATAATACCGGTATGTATGTTTACTCACTGTTACAGTTTCATAAATTTATATAAATTAAAATCAAGTCCCCTTACATAAAAATAAATCTGTGTGCTTGTGTTAAGTTTTTAAATTTTATAAATGTACCCATGCTAGGGTGGCCCATGTGCTCTACAGAAATAAAGTCCACCGCTGATAGTTCGAGACTACCACTGAAGCGTACACATTCGCCGTGCCGAGACCAACTTTCTGACAATATGATACTATAAATAGCCATGGCACGTGCAATTCTCTACAAATCTATCAACTATTACAGCCGTAAAAAATTTATTGTTGACGATTTTGAATAGCAGTGAAATTAAGCTTCTTGGTTATTACAGCAGATTTAGAAATTACGTTCGTTTCATTTTTTAAATCGCTTTATCATTAACTGTACCGTTAAGAGCGGCATCTTTTGGTTTAGTACAAATAATATCTCTGAATCACTCGGATTAGACAGGAACATGATACTTGCAGTAGTTTCATTTTACTTTTACAAGGTTCTTAAAACGATTGTTGAGCTACCTAACGTGCTTATTTCTAAATTCAATTTCTTGTTCTAGCTTTCTGTTATGTTTCGTAAAAAAGTAGTCTTGATTATCCCGACCTGTCAATCAGACGTAGAATGGTCGATAGACTGGTTAAGCGAGACTAATTTCAAAACAAGGGCACGTAACCTATCTTTTACTCAAAAGTGTCTGGATGTAATGGACGACACTTGGAACCAGTTTTCAGTCTATTATTTATAGATGATTAATGGTCATAGCTTATTAAGTACAACATGATCGTTTATTTAGTGACTATAATTGTGTGAAACTGATTTGAGGCTTGGCATATATATAAATATTGTGGCGTAATTGTCGAGATATAAGGAGATATATGGAGATATTTATTTATGGTGGGTCACCCTACCCATGCCATGTGAATGTACATGTAATTAATGTAGGCCTACACATACATGTACATGTATATATTCCCCAATTGCAAATCCCTGTCATCTACAATGTACATATATGCAGGCTACATGTAAAAAAATGGGTTTTCAGTTGAGTTATCCTGCATTATTAACACCCTATTAGAATATGAAATCATGACCATCGTTACGTGTACTTTATCTGCTGTAATTTGTCTAAAATGTTTTACCTGCGTATTTACGCAGCTGATGACATGTTATCAAACATACTGAACAATGAACATACAAATCTTGCAATAATAGGCTACAAAGTTTTATTGATCAAAATAAAATGCCGAAAATGAGCATGTCATGCACAGTCTTGCACATCATTATGTACCAGTGCATGTAACTGTCTGAACTGCATAATTTTTATTCAACAAGGTATAAAAAATTGCTTTGTGTAAGGTACCTGAATAGAATCATGAATCTATTGCATAATAATAAATCATATATCGAGGTGTGTAATGCATTATAAATCTTATCTTTTCTAAGCCAAATCAAGCCTGACAACCTGAACAAGCCAATTAATCTTGTGTGACATGGGACTGAAATTCCTTTGAAAAGGTAAATAATTATTTTAATGCAAGTCGAATAACAATTTTATTGTTGTGACAACTTTCTATCTTGATTCATTGAAACCGGAGAACAACCCAGACAGTGAAGAAATTCTATTTTTATCATCCACAGATATCGAATGTAAGAGAAAGTGAGACTGAGAGAGAGATTCCGAGATGACTGGCTTGATATACATGCTTACTGGGCTCTGCAGTCTCAATCTCATTTAAAAAACAAAACGTTAAAATTACACCCTTAATTTATAATCTTAACTCAGTCTAGAATGACAGTTTTAAAGAGTGAAAGTCCATGATGAAAATAACCGTATTTACGAAGCAAGTTCATTCCATGATGTTGTCTACACCGAACCGTGCCACAAGAAGCTGCAAAGTCACAGCAGCCAATAGTGAAAAGCGAAATAGATAGCATTTGTCTGAAAACGGCTGGCCTTGTTTTTGTTCAAATTAATCAAGCTTACCTTTTGTTATCTCGGCCAAAATCAAATCCCTATGTGCATCCGTTGAGGGTTCTCCAACAACAATAAAAATTGCAGATTTAGGGGTCGAGGATCCATCCCCGAATTGAGAGGAATTTGTAAACCCTTCCGTCGCCATTCTCTTTCTATCTTTACAGTCGAGTGCTGACCGGCGAATACAAGTGCTTGTCAATCAGACATTTAACAAATTTTCTTATCTTCAATTTGATTGGTGCGGTGAATCACCCATATAACGCTCAACCAATCAAAAGACGACTTGTATGTGACTTCGGCTTTAGAGTCGCGTGGATCTTCCGAAAAAAATAACTACATGTATGCCTAGTAAATTTTATTTTCTAAAATATTTGCAAGAGCTCAACGTTTTTATCTTAAAACTATTGCTCAGGGTGTGTATATTATAAAATGACATTGTAATAACACTGTAGAAGTGGTTCAACAATGAAGTCAGCAATGAGTCAGTCAATTGAGTCAACTTCCACGCTGTTTGTGTGTAAAATGGGCAGATTGGGGTTATGGACATAACGGCGTTAAACCATAACGGCCACAAAATTTAGTCAAAACGTCCAAACATTTAGTCATAACGGCCAAACAATTTGGTCAAAATGGATAAACAAAATTCAAAATTGTTTAAGTAATTAATATTTGTTATCCATTCTCAATCTAATGATATTTTGTTATGTACATAAATTTAACATAACAATGTCTATAAATAGCTTCGGTGAAATGAAAAGACGCTCTTAGTTTTTTTTTTCTCTCCCATACCTGCAACTTTCAATATCTATTTACAGTAAGTCCAAGAGAAAACCATGTAAAATTTAGACAGAAGTGATAAGATGCGGGTCCGCCGATTTCATTAATATTCACGGGGTTTAGTCTGTAGAGCTGGTAGTTATCACTATAATAGTGAAAAACTAGATAATGTAAAGGGAACTTGCTGAACATTTCAGTCAAAGTGATCCTCTCTGAACCGAGATTTTAGCGATTGAATTTTCGACCTAGCCTCGATCATCAGAACTAAAGTCGGTACTATAAAAACATTGTCTCGATTATCCATTTCATGATGAAATCATGAATGCCAGTCGAACAGCAAATCGGAATCTAATCCAATAAACATCGCAGGCTAGCGATGACACCGAGAGTTGATTATGATCTGGATAAGTTAATTAATGTCACATTAATAATTTAGATAACATTTCAGGCCTAAAGAAAGATCTGCAATAGGCAGATTTAGCTCTTGCATAATGTATGTTTGAGCCAATGATTGACGCCCTGTGATGTGACTCAAAGCAGACATATTTTACATTATTAGTCTTCGCAATACCTCTGTGAAACAGATTGGCGAGAAGCATTAACCCACTCGTCAAAAGGATACATAAATCCAAAATGACAGCCATCCACTCTGTCATATGAAATCAACGTTGTTTTCATCAAATCTTATTTTCATGCACAAATCGATAGTCAAAACCGGCAAAAATTGATCCGAAAATAGCCAAAAATAACCCTAAAACACGTATGCCCCGTACCTCTGGAATGGTTAGTTTTTGGGGTGGGTCATTTTGGCTACGAAGTTGGTTGGCGGGCATGACTCAACCCTATGAATATGAATGAAATCGGCTGACGCTTAAACCTTTTAATTTAGGATGAAGTTATAACATTAAACACACATTATTTAAGAGATAAATCTGCCTATTGGAGGTCATTCTTTAGGCCAGAAATGTTGTATAAACTATTAATTAGACATTTATCAACATGAAAAGACATTAATCAACCCTCGTTGCCATCTTATGTGTCTGATTTTCACTGGATTTGAATACAGCGCAACGCTCATTGATTATTAAATCCAAAAGTGGATAATCAAGACTTGTTTTATCGTGCCGACTTTAGCAATGATGATCGAGGCTAGGCAAAAATGCAATCGCTAATATCTCGGTTCAGAGTGGAGAAATTTTACTGAAATTTTCATCATACTGTATTCCTTTTACATTATCTAGTTTTTAACTATTATAGTGAGAACTGTCAGTTCTTTATCTAGGCGTAATCTTCCATAATGCCCCTTTAAACAAATAATTTCTAACAGGTTGTAAATTTATGTAATGTAAGCTCTGGCTTGTTTTCCGATCCCATAATTACGTAAAAATGTATCGAATAAACAGTGTTAGAAAAATAACATACCATAATGGCGTCATTTCACCTGACGACTGGACATATCTAATACAGATACTGACTAGTAATTTGACATTTATATCAGTACGCAAGAAGACTTCTGAAAATCTGGTCATGGAAATGAAACTTACAATATAATCTACATAATCAAACAATCTGAATCAAGATTCAGCTCATAGTGCATAATAAGCAATTGCTTAGTAGTTTATTGTTTTTGAAATATATTGGTATTTTTTGGCCGGATTGATCAAGTATTTGGCCGTTATGACTAAATTATGGCCGTTATGACCTTTGCTTCGTGTGCCAAGGGAACTAACTCTGAATAAGAAATTTCTTTCGAACCAGGCGAGACAGCAGGATCTTTCCATGGTTGCGTGTGCAGTACCATCGATGACAAATGAAAGCGTGTACAAAATGCTTGGCAATGATTAAATCGTTAGGATATAAAGGCCAAAAAGTATTTGGTTGGATGCATTTGCATGTAGGCCTATATTTTGCAAATCATTAAAGTGACAGTTAAAAGAGTTCACATATAGCCTAACACGGAAAGAAATCGAGTTCATAATAACTTCGTGATAGCCAAGTTTTCTACAAGATATATCCACCCATTCAACGCCCGATAGCACAGCTAGTAAGCTCTAATTTACCCCCCCCCCCCCAAAAAAAAAACCACCCCAGCACGTGTTATAAAGTGCTCCCTTGATAGGTAATGAGCCGCTATGATCAAATTTACTAGTATTTATGTAAAATAATATGGCATGATATTGTGTATTCTAACTTTCATTCCCGTATTAAAGCAAACAGAAAAACCCATTAATATCTTTGTAACGGTACGTTGTTGGTAGTATTCATAGAACTTATTTTGGACATGTCAGTCTAAAATTAAAAAAAAATCCAAAAAGATAGAATAAAACCATCAGATTCAGAACTACATGTATATTCATTAATAACAAACAAAATAGTCTAAAACATTTTTTATTTATTCTTAGACTAAAATAATTTTTTAAAATTCCACGCTACATTGATTGTTATTTTCGAAGCGGCTATTATGTCTCTATAAATGTTGATTCACAAATTGTTGACCACGAGACGTGGTTTACACTTTCTCTGACCGCTTGTTTACCTCTGAAATTTTGGAAATGACCATTTGAAGTTTTAGCAAGGTATGTAGTCACAAACCACAACGTCACCACCTTGGCATAAACATTCACTACATTTATAAATAAACGTCTCTCCTCCATTATATAATGCTCCTTTAAATAGACATTGGTCTGGTCTTAAAGCGGCCATCCGATCTGTAAAACAACAGATAAAAATGTTTCAATACAATGTTGTCATTTATCAGCACGTTTAAAGAGCCACGTAGATCATTATAATCACAAATAAAGATTCTTTAGTAATGTATTAAAACCATTTGAAATTAGACTCGGTTTTGAGAATGGTGCCTTTATACATTTTGGGTAGTGGCCTGGCTACGGGGGAGCAACGACCCCCCTAGTCCCGGACACCCATAACCTCCTAGTCTTCAACGTAGAATATTTTTCTGGATGATAGAGACTACAGATTAGATTTTGTCGCCATATTATTATCGCGCTTTTGTTCACATGTGCGATAAAGGTCGGATGTTTGGACCCATTTATTTTATTCGAACTTAGTGTTATTTGCAGTTTCGGACTGATACCCCATTTAGATATTCGACTTTCACACTGTAGTTTGCATGGGATTAGCAGTCTCTCCTATGACGATCAGCGGACTTAAAGATAGAGATAATTCAATTCCGGAACGTTCAGTCCAGTGTGGCAATCATGAATCAAACCGGTTAATCCGAGAAACTGTTTGAGAACACGTTGTTTTCGTGTAAAACAAACCCAACAAAATAAGTGTAACAAGGTTGACAAGCCAACAAAATAAATGCATACTATAACCTACCGTTCATTTTGAACAACCCAACAAAAAAAAATAATTGATAAAACCTACCGATCATGTTGCACAGATATAACATAGTGACTATTGTCAATACTTTTACAACTAGAAGCTTCATGATACAACCCTCTCCACAGATAATAAGCAATAAAACAGACCAGACTCAGATAAACGGCTGAGGTATTACTCTGAACGATTCCACAAGTAAATATTTTATTATATATTTAATTTTTTTTGGAATTATTCACGGTTAAGTTTAAAGTGGTCGTATAGAGTGGGTGGGGCTTAACGTGCCGTTAACATGACTTTCGGATATTTTGACACAAACATCTGAGCAAATAAATTTTATGGTCAGGTAGGCAATGGAGGATTTTGACCGGACAGCGACGTTTCTATATTTCTCTTAAATTTCCAGCAGAAAGAGGTTCTTTTACGATTTAATCTATTAAAGTGTTCTTTCACGTGCACGCCGTGACAGGACCCCATCCCTCCACAACCCGCTCTTAGTTTAAAGCCTTAGGAAAATCCGACGCTGATCCCCTAGCCCTGCCAATTTGGCAGACGAATGAGTTATACAGGGCCCTGGCATAGGGGGAGGCTGAGGTGGGAGGGGAGCTGAGATAGCAAATCACCGGCCTTCGTTTCCCCATAACCTATGTAAACCAGTTCATATTTCAGCAAATAGGGAGAGTAAAATTAGGACTGTTCCAAGATATAGGGTTTTTTCTTCGATCAAATGGAGGGTTGAAGGGGAAATAAACATAAAATGTTTGCCTATAAATAAGGTGATTTAATAAATAGTTATTTAGATAAGTGTTAAAAGTATAAAAAAAAATGTATTTTAAAATTTCTTTTATCATAAGAAGTCAACAGAGCGTAGGCACACTGAAGTTACAGTATACAGGGGTGTGGGTGGGGGATTGGGGGTAACTGAAACTTTTGCTCTGGGGCGCCACATAGGCTTGTGTGAGCCTTGGCGTTACATTTACCCACTGTGCTCTCTTTAATTAATAGGTTTAAATTTAAGTCGTAAAATAAACCATATGTGACATAAATAATTATATTTTACTTGATATTATTCAGATTTGATTGATTAAAGTAATACTATATATATTACACCTCACATACTGTTTACAAGTATTGCCATTTAAACATTGATAGCCAACAGATCTTATCTTGGACTAATACTACCAACAACAATACATTACTCATATCTGTTTTCACACAGTAACCCATGACATACTGGTTGTAGGTGTTTCATAACATTCTTTCGCAATCATTTCCCTTTGGTTGAATAACATAACCTCGGTGAAAGGAGAGGAATTCTGGTTGTCTTTGTTATTTTGAGACTAACATATGGTTAATGCTATGGTCACGAGTACAATGCCCTAACAGCGGTGTTTCCACCTGCTATTAATCGAATATCTAGCCTGGCTCACAACCAGCCGTATGTGTTTTCACACGCACTGGTCGTAGGGTTTGGTAGTTCAGCTCTAAACGTAGGTCTCATTACCCGCGCCCTGTACGTTCAGGAACCGTCCTATTGAATCCTTGTCGAAAATAAAATCGGCCCCAGTCAATTTTACTTGGCAACTTTTTACTGCTAAACGGTCGTGTGTCAGTCTCTGTGAACGCCTGAACAATGTAAAGGAACATTTTAGTGACAAAATAAGACCCTGCTTACGTCGCTAACGTCAGTATGTTTAACACGACATGCTGTTAAAAATACGTCCTCTTCGGCTAAATGGCTTGGCATACGCCAATGGAGGGGGTCGCGGTGGCTAAGTGGGCAAGACGCTGGCTCGCAAGCCTGGAGGTCGGGTGTTCGATCCCTGCATTGGCCGAGAAAGTTCATCCAGATTTTCCGGCGTGGTTCCCCCTTGTCAGTGATGCAGGACGGAGGGCCTGACAAGGACATCTGTCTAGTCGTTCGGATGGGACGGAAAACCGAGGTTCATGAAGTTAAATGCTCCGAACTGGGCTAATGAAGACGGGCATATGCCAAACAGTGTGTTATGAGGGAAATTCTGCCTGGACAGCGGCACACTCTTATATCGAATTCCAACTGTCAAGGGATCTTTTACGTGCTAGACAGCTGTCCTTGTCAGACTCTTCGTCCTGCATCACTGATAAGGGGGAACCACGCCGGAAATCTGAATGAACTTTCTCGGCCAATGCGGGGATCGGACACCCGGCCTCCAGACTAGCGAGCCAGCGTCTCACCCACAAAGCCACCGTAACCCCCATACTATTCTGTAATGACTTTCTTCACCATTTTACATAAGAAAGACTTCAGAAAAAACTCCCGAAAGACAAACCAAGGCCTGCTGCCCCCCCCTCCCTGTGTTACTTTTTATGGGGTTATTTTCTTCCGTTTTTCTTTCCCCAACATAACCTCGGTGAATAACCGACGAAACCCAACCAGGGGATTTTTGTTTAGATTGTGTTAGTAGTTAGTTAGGGCAATATACTGTCTCTCACAAAGATATGTAATTACCCCGAGCTAATATAATACACATAAATTTAGTCCCTCCTAGGGCTTTTTGGGGTTATCTGACGCAGAAGAAAAAAAAAAGACAAATATCAATAACAACCAAATAAAAATTCAGTTTATTCTTTTACAGGATAAATTTCAATTCTTCACTTAAATAAATTAGTCAATACGATATGGACTCTTTAATATAAAGAAACCCTTGTAAATATCTATACATGCACTTCACTTAGCTATAAGAGACGATTATGGATATAAACATAATAATTGCCCTGGTTGCCGCGCATGCTTCGCAAAATATTAAACATGACGCATGCTGCGAAGTCGGCAGTACACATATCGACTATTTGTCATCTTGCGATGAGTCCTGCGAGTAAAACGCAAAACTGAGAAAGTTAAGTGAAATAAGAAAACAATATAAACGCTTTATATAGGGTTCATTGTCATTGACAGTAAAATTGTCATTATAGGTTCATATATTTTAATGTTTCCATATGCAAATATATAAAAAAGAGCCATGTACTTAATGGAAGACAAAGGGTCTTTTTTTATAAAGCACCCAGAGAAACTGCACCTAAAACAGCAGATCATAAGCCAGCCTACACACAAGACACCGAGGCTCTGTAACGGGCAGTGCCGGATTAAGACTTTGCTGGCCCCAAGGCTTCACCTTGAGAAAATAACAAAAATTACGATATTACTTACATAAACAATATCTCACGTGTGTAAATCCGTTGCCGGGAAACAGAATGAAAAGCCTGAGAACAAACGCGTAGATGACGAAAGGATGCCTTTTATTTACATAAAAATAAAGGAAAGCATTTTTATCATCACCTGATAATTATCATCAAAAGTTTACTTTATTTTATGTGGCCTGGATTTCTGGTTGGCTCTAAGGCACTTGTCTTATTTGTCTAATGGCTAATCCGGCACTGGTAAGGTGCTGATTTCTATTTTTCACAGGGAAGCATTAAACAGAAAACGTCTGCACCTAAAACAGAGCAGACCGGAAACAGACCATATAAATACACAATAATTCTATATCAAAGATAACAGCGCATAAACTTGTAGTACAACATGCATATAACAATCTGATTAAAAAAAATCTATATTTCGTTTCGTTTTTTTATACTTTCAATGGCCTAGACTACATGAAAATCGTGTCAGGGGTCGTACGAGTGGCTTTTAACCCTATGACGCCGGACATTGATTGATCAATCAGCGTTGACGTTTCTGGTGGTTTACCCACAGTTCCGTACATGGCACGCCAAGAAGTCATCGTAACAGACTGTTTCATGGGCTAATCCCTCCTTTCAACTAAACCGCCGATAATATAACAAATCTTTCTGATCCTAGTGTAGTAAAGACAAGTAAAACGAAATTTTGAACTATAAAAAACGAAATGAAATAAGATCTGTGTTTTTATCAGGTTGTGCATATAACAAATACGACAAACACGTAGTACAACATATATACAATAAAACCACCGGAGATTTCAAATATGACACATATATTATAGCACTTTTATCATAATAAAACTAACATAAACAATATATTGTATTTAACACGGGTACCATATTCAAGAAAACCTAACTTAAAAGAATTTAGGTTAAATTTACTTGAACGAGGATCCATCACTTTATCTGGGCACTGTTTACTTGTGTCCTATCACATCAAATCATAACATTGTTAATATAACAATATCATTCCTCTCCAATAAAAAAGAACGGAGTAATTACAACATCATTCCTCAAACAAACCTGAATGGAACGATAACAACATCATTCCTCTCCAACTAACCTGAACGGAATAATAACTACATCATTCCTCTCCAACTAACCTGAACGGAATAATAACTACATCATTCCTCTCCAACAGACCTGAACGGAATCATAACTAATCGTAACATATGCCTAATAAATGTTAAAGTTGAGCATATTATGCTTAGTAAAGGCACATAGGAGTCGATCCATGTCTCTAAGCAGGGGAGAACATGTATAAGGTTGCTTAATTCGTTGTGAAATAGCTTTATACTTTAAGTTATGGTCGAAAAAATAATACAATTATTTATTTATTCTCCCCATGGGCGAACTAGCGGAAGATGACAGTTTCTGCGGCATCACTAATGGTGGAGATAGACATAAAGAGCCACTTCATATCAGAAGGGCGACAACAACATACCAAGTAATAATACGTTCACAGGTGATCCATAAATGCAAACCAGGAAAATAACAAGATAAAGCTGTACCAAATTAGGGCATAACGTGCACCACACGGAAAATAAATAATAAGTTTTAGTCAGTGTCTAACTGTTAAATTCTAAAAGAAAAAGGTAACTCTATAGCGTAAGATCACAGCAAGGGCATTTGTGGAACTAAAAGAAAGGGTGACAACTCTTAAAGCCTAGTATTGTAATCAGCATCACTGGGATTGTATATCACAACAGCCTTCTCCTTCTTGAACTGTTTGTGCTTGACCCTGGACCTCCAGACTTTGACGATCTGGTCATCACCAACAGATACAACAAACTCTTGGTCAACGGGATTGATGGCCGCGGCACTGACCCCTGCCATCAGATGATCTAACTTAGATAACAAGGCACCAGAATGTCTGTCCCATAAATAGACTTGGTTACTTTCACTTCCGCTAAAACAAAAAGTGAAAGTTGAAGAGTTTAAATTTGAACAAACTGCTACATACATGCAATGAAATATCTACGAGGTAATCTTATTTCAGGGGATCTTCAATTCTCCCTTTGTTGAACATCCCAAACCTCCCGGCCCACCGTCCTGCATCACTAAACAATCCAGTGAAACCTTCACCACCAATACCCAGATCAAACCCAGGAACTCCTGGGTATTGAGCTATCTGGATCCCTGGTAGATAAAATTTGTGAAACATACGACAAAATATGCAAACCACTTATAGCCCGTTCAGACGGTTAAGTTGAACTGGTTTAAAACCCCGGGGATCGTTAAACCAGTTTAACTTAAGCGTCTGAACGCACATGTGGGGCAAATAAACCAGTTTAAAAACCCCAGCTCGCGACCTGTCTTCGAGAAGGCTTTTTTATTTTAAACTGGTTCATCTTAGCCGTCTGAACGGGTTGGCTTAAAAACCCCAGCCCCAGCTTGCTTTGAGCATGCGCAGTACGCAGTAAGTTACATTCCTGTGAAAATATCGGGGTCAGACTGTGCCAATGTTATCTAAAGCGTGCGAGAACCGAATAAAGAATATGAAGCTACCCATGCGCAATTAACTCTAACCTCCGACCGAAGAGGTCAGAATAGTTAAACTGGTTTGGCTTATAGTACGTGTGAACGCAACACGATGCTGTCTTCAAAACCCCAGCGATTATGAACTGGTTTAAAAATAAGCGTCTGAACGGGCTATTAGATAAACGTCAATATGGTGTACGGCAACGGAACAAGCCGGATCCATCCGATATACTTTTATCAGTAAACTGGATGCCTACAAAAGACCCTTCAAAAATACTTATTCATTGACGCCCAATACTATTAATTGAAATTCACTTACCAAACGACAAAATCTTTATTAGCGTCTCCGAAGCAGAAACAGAAGCTATCCGAATCCGTGACAGCTTTATGACCCGTGTAAACTATTGGTTGAACCCGCAGAGTGAGTAGGTCTATCAGACGTACCTCCATGTTTTTGGACAAGCCTGGTCGTTCGTAGGGATCTGAACCATCAGGCTCTTCCAACCAGCCTCGCATATTTACTACCAGATACCTGAAAAATATTAGAGAGGTAGACCTAATTTCATATCCGTTTTACAGGTGATTGCTCATGACATTTTTCATGATCCAGTTCATGGCTTTCGGAATTTTTACGTTCTCTGTTCTGCTGGTCAGAGAACAAATGATAAATCACAACTGGTCAGTAAAAACTATGAGACTAATTCGGTAATGTGCGGAAAAAATGAAACGTTTATGTAATAAGCAGCAGTGACTAAAATGAAAAGACATACTCCTGCGCCAATCGGGCTGATAAAACCAGGCATGTAGTACGCAATATGCTATGAGAGAAATTTTACCCGAACACAGAACTCCCAATTGCCAATGGTTATTTTATCAGCACACCAACTAGGTCTCGTATACTGTCAGTGGTTCTTTTACATGTACACCTAGTTGACTACCACATAGATTATATGTAGAAATTGTTTCCATTACAGGCCCCACGTCCTATACCATTGACAAGGGAGAAGCCAGTCTGGAAAATCCGACGAACTATGTTGTCAAACACTATCAATACCTTGACGTTCTGGTTAGTGAACCGCCGCCATACGCACCATGCCACCACGACTCCCGAAGTACCCGCTAAACTAACTGTAACACCTACCTACTATTTACACTGACTCTGACACCTAGAATCTGTCCATGTAAATCTATCAAATGATCACAATGTGCGTTTTGTTTCCTTTTGATAGATGGTCGCCTTCTTTCATTGATGACACCGTTTCGGTGATGATTGTTGCCGTTTCTTAGAGTTGATTTCAACTTGTTTTTTGAGACAAACTTTATACCTATTTGGTTGAGCGCATCACAATATCCCGTGGCAAATACTAACAAGTAACCACAACTATTGTTTGTAAATATGTGTTCGTTGTTCACGTGATTGAGATTTCGATGGACGTCGTTTGAATTAAACTGGTTTCTAGTGGTGTAGGATTCATTGTTCAAATCATTCTTTACCATATGTTTTCGCCGCACCACATTTAAAAATTGTATCCGTATTTCTACGTCGAAATTAATTTCCTGTATCTCCCGGGGCTCGCCCTCTTCTGTGTGTCTCCCGTTAAAATCTTCCTGAAATCAAAAGAAAATTGTTTCAAGACTGAATTCTCCAATTGGCTTAAGTATCGCGAAACGTAAATAGAACGGGGCTTAACGTCCCACGTTTCTGCACCAACATCGCATTTGTCTCTTCTACCACGTAGATATTGCTTAAAGTTGAACTCCGATTACAAAAGTACAGAAATAATTAGATAAATTTTTTTAACGCCTTAAACAGTCGCCATACTTGTTTTCAACTTGTAGAACGAACATGGTGTACAAAAAGAGAGGCAGGCCACGCCCACATCCAGTATATGCCTTGTCAAGCACAGTGTCCACATCCGGCTAGTTATTCAACTACCAATTACCGCCTGCCTGATTGACATTTTTTCACTACCAGCTTACTGAAAATATTATTGCTACACAATTATTATGTCTGATCAGGTACATATTACTTTACTAATTAGACGAAATAAGTCTACCACGATGTACTTTTGCTCTAAAAAATAAGAGACAAACTTGAATAGCTAGCCGGATGTGGACACTTTGCTTGACAAGGCATATACTGGATGTGAGCGTGAACTGCCTCTCCTTTTGTACACCATAAACAGTAGCCATGTTTGTTCTACAAGTATGGCGACTGTTTAGGGCCTTAATTCTTTTATTTAATCATTTTTATAGTTTTGTAATCAGAGTTCAGCTTTAATGTATTTACAGATGAGCACTTAAGCAAGTAAATACAATCTGATAATGACAAGCCTAAGGAAACAAGGCATTCACAATAACCACAATATGAGCTTGCTTATAGCAAGTACAAGCTAAGGTGTAGCTGTAGTAATGGAAACATACATCTGATACATAAGAAACACAAGATGAGATGGAATATAACATGAAAAATCTGGTGATGCCAAGTTCATGGCAACAAACATGAACCAGATTATAACTCACCCCTTCCACACACAGTGATACAGCTTCTGCTGTGTCAGATTGAGCTCCATATAATAAATGATGGTTAGATAACCATGCTCCTCGTATACCTTGGGGGGTCATAACATCCGTCCAAGTGAGAGTAAAACCTGAAATGTAATCAAAGATAAACATTTGAATTCGTATTAACTTAATTGTTTTACCATTATAATATTATCTCATATATAAATATACTACAAAGAAAAGTGGTGGTGTCAGGGGATTTTCGAATATGAGTGAGGGTGCCTTAAGGGCGGAGTACTCCTACAAAGAAGTTACTAAGATTATATCTTAGATAAAGAACACAATCAACATAATATTTGCATCTAAAGATCGACCAGAAAAGGATGAACCCGGCTCTTGAATTTTGGATATGATTATCATCGCACGAAAAGGGCCTGGGGTGCGGTCACTGCAACAACTTCCGTATTAGACTATTGGATTTTATAGTTTAGTCAACAAACAAGCTCTCGTGTTCTACTCATCTAATCATCTGGTATTTCTCAAGATAATTCCTTACTTTTACAGTAATATGAATGCTAATAAGGACTCATTACCGTCTGTCATTGAGAACCACGCCACCCAGCCACAATGGAACCGTAATCCGGATACCAGCAGATTTGTGTCGTTTTGGTTAAAGGCTGAATATCTGGTGTAATTCCACCCTGATTCTTCTTTTAGATTATAGGAATACTTCAATTTGGTCGGACATCCAATTTCCCACACCTGTCGGAAAACATCAACTGTGTTACCTGGGAGATCTACTCATTTACCCGAGACAGTGTAGGTGGTTGATAAGGTCAGAATGAATGTGTAGGAATCGACGATTAACTAATAGGAAACATTGCCGAAGGTCCATACTCCCACCAACAGCAATTTAGCTCTAAAATCTATGTCATTAAATCCCACTGAACACGTTCTAAAAAAGTCCGTGGAGAATTGTGTACTGTATCTTGTTCACAAATTCTAAATTTCAAAATGTGAACGGAAAGATAGCCCCACAAAACATCTACAGGGCGATAAGTCCGTCATTTACGATCGAAAATAAGGAATGTGTGCAAAAGGCAAATATTTATATAGACCTGCTGAATATGCAACACAGTTGACGTACTGGTTTATTAATCTTCGAATGATCTAATTTATTGAGAGTGCCCAATGAAATACACAATTTGGCATGATTTATACGGTATTAATAATGAAGGCCGGGCGATATAAGAGCCATTTGCTTCTTTACATTTATAATAATTTTATAGACCAAATACTGCCTCTTTACATACCTTGACGTTCCCATCTTTTCCAGTTGTGGTAAATAGTTTTCCGTCATGAGAAAAAGCCACGTGAAAAATTTCATCTGTATGCTCTGCGAGTTCCTCTGACAATACAACTGGTGAATGGCAATACAGGCGTCGATATTCTTCTAACCAGGTCCCAACAAATGGTGCTTTGTTGCAATCGTCTCCCCAAGCTCTGTAGGCTAAATTCCTCCAAAGGCATTCATCTCGTCCTATCTCACGCCACCAACGACAACACCCCGTAACTCCCAAAACATCTTTGACTTCCAGAAACGAAAATATTTCTAACAGAAGCGAGTCTGGAAGATCATAAACTGTGACATCATCTTCACCGGAAGGTCTCCTGACCAAGCCTTTCAGACGAGTTGTATCCATTGTGTTTTTATTTTTCTGTGCCCTGGAATGAACAGATTTTAGAGAGTTGGCGAATAACGATTTGAATTAACGGCTCCTATTTGGAACTTTCCGACACTATCTTAATACACCTAATTTATTTGGGATAGCATGACTTGTTCCGACATATTCAAATTCACCCTTGAGTACCATTTTACAGTCAAACGTTTATACTTCACAACAAAAGAATACGATCCACTCTTAGCATTTTTCCTTTATTAGGGTATGTTCCTAGAATGTGTAGTCTAGAATCCCGTCACTATGTTAATTCAACCGTGCTGGTAACAAACATGAGGCACTTCGTGTATGTTGGGCATAGAATAGATATTGACTATCGCCACGTGTAATGCGCATGGAGGACATAACCGTAATCGAAATATTGAGAAAAGTGTTCTATAAATTGTTACACATAAACGGCCATATATCGACTTTAGCGTAAAGTGTATGTAAACTCTGACTTCAAATACATACCACTTGTGTGTTCATATTAAAGAGAGAGAGAGAGAGAGAGATGGGGTTTAACGTCCGCTCGACACAAACTAGGTCATTTCGGGACTAACATATGGTTTAATTTTATTTCAATAATTCGCTTGCGCGTAGGGGTCTTTAGCAGTGGGAGGAAACCGGAGGACCCGGAGAAAACTCACGAGGTTGGACAGGCGACCCTACTCCTTGTCACGTACAACCGGGGATGTGTTCATGTTATGTGGAAGAAATCCAAGCAATAATTTGTCTTGTGGTCTACGAAATTTAGTATTCCAGGGGCTGAACTGTGTTGCTTACTTCAATAGTATGAAAGTACTATCAACCAGTGGCGTGCAGGGCGGCGTGGGTGGGATGGGGTCAGATGGGGCCACGGCCCAGGACATCCATTTCAGGAAGGGAAGGGGCATTCAATCGAAATGTCGTTGGAACCCCGGGCATCACCAGACCCCTGTACACCACTGCTACCAGCATCCCATGCCAATTGGGTATACAAACTCGTATACATAAAAGAGATACACAAGAGTATATAGGCTAATTACCGGATGAAATATCACATGATGAAACTACGTAGCCAAATTATGCATTTTTTGGCACATTGACTTAAATATTTGAAAACAGAGCTAAAAGCGTAGAATTCTGGTAACTAACACAGATCCAACTTATAAACAGATGGCTATCTTTAGACAGCACTGTTTGGTTTCCATGTCATATAAAATAAACTTAGAAGGTATCGTTATTTAGGATGCATCTTGAACACACAAGTAATACAGGTCAATAAAAAAAAATAATGTTGGACGTTTCATAAATAATTAGGTAAACTGCAGACTATTCATGGAATTGGTCTCTAAACACGATACTAGTTTTGTACAACACAACGTCGTAATTCAAAATACACCAAAAACTTTAAAAAGCAACAATGATAACTGCTATACTTCTGTGTGCTTATTTTTATAGGTCACATGTAAATATCATGCAGCTTTTCTAACTTAGTGAATAGAACTTGAGAACAGTTCATTAGCCCGTACGTCAACAGACACAAAGGGCGATAACTGCAATATTTACGTTTTAATAATAAATATTTCCCTTTTGGGGTTTCGACCAAATATCTATTGCATATAAATTATCCAGAAATATATGTTTAAATTATTAACGAATTTGTTCACATTTCTATCAATCTATTGAAAAAGATGCCTGAAGTAGATAGACGGACCAAATTCTTGAAGAAAGGTTACGATAGGGTCATCTCCATGCCTTCATGTACTGCAGCATGAATTGGCACAATGTTCTTGAAGTTAAGCACCTTATGCAACAAAGTCAAAGAGTTCCCCACCATTTACAAATGCTAACCATGTTATATATTCATTATATGATTAATAACTCAGTTGTAATATTATCTATATATTATATTAACTTGACTTACCAGCGACTTAGAGCTATATTGGACATCTGTGAGTATGTATCTTCCGTGTTCAATAGTCTATAAATAGTAACACGTAGATAACTACGCGGTTTGGTATTATGCAGAGAGCTGTTTAAGTGCCGTGTGCATGAAATATTTGTAATTACCTACAGTACTACTCCGCTTCTGTACAAGGTGATATCGCAAACAACCGTGTTTGATCTAGTTGTACCGTGTAAAGTGAATGTGGTAATGGTGCACTAATAGGCGGTCCCGTGGTTGATCCTGGTGCAGCCTTGTTTCTTCTTGCCAGGAGGATCCGTCACGGAATAGGAGTCTAGCATTGGAATAGTACAAAAATTAACGTTGGCGTGCAGGTAAAAGAGCCTTTGTCAGATGGAATTCGACGATGAGTAGGTGAAAACGCCACTGTCCGGGCAAATTTCCCCTCTATGAGTACATTAGCCCAGTTGCTGAAATGTAGTGTAAACGGTTAGATCTAAACATTAAGGCCACTTGCAGATTTTGTCAAGGCCACGAGATGTAAACAGGTCTAGCACTAACCCTAATCCACAATCCTCGGCAACAATCACGTGCCCTAACATTACTTTAAACATCAGATTAATTAGGTACTCCTTAAAGACTGGTCGGTTTAAAGAATAATTAAATAACATAATTAATATCAGATCCGATAAGAAGGTTTAGCAGTTTATATAAAACCACCTGCTTATTATGAAACAGTAAGAGATTTACAACATTCATAGTACACATACATAAGATTGGAGTATCTGAACGTGCTATGTTCAAAAAGAGTGTTTTATAAGGCAAGGGAAACAACTCCTTTTAGATAATATGAAAATAGACCACTAACTATGAAATGAAATGAACTTTAAATGTCTTACTTTTCTGCACCAACGGGGATAATGAAGACGGGCCATATATTATATTATGAGGGTCGCTGTGTCCCCACAGCGGCGTTTCCGCTTACTCTTCATCGAATTGCAACTTCTAGGGGTTTATTTACGTGTATGTCAATGTGTATACAGGAACCCCGTTTTGTTCGGGGTATGCTAACGATTAGACGTTTTTCCTTAATAATGAATTTGTCTTGTACACTTACTGTCATTTACATTAGTACTAGACACATACACACACCTAAATTACAATGTACATTCTTTGTTAATGAACAAGCTGTAGATGGCTACATATAACAAAAATTTATTTAGTATGTTTTCAGTATTTTCACCACCAAACAAACATATCTACCGCATGTTGTTGAAATCCACTTAGCGGATTTCGGGAGGGAGTTTAAAACTTGAGAAAGTATTAATATTTGGCATTTTAAGGCATCCCCTCAGTGTTAAGTTTGGCAATTGCAACTGAACAAAGCTGGATAAACAAAATCCAACATCATACCTACCAAATTTGGTTGACATTTATATCAATTGGTTTGAGAGAAGACGTTGAGTGTGTGTGGAAATGTCTGTGTTTTCCCTTAAAAGTGCCCCGCCTCCTGCTTTTTGGAAGACCAAACAGATAGAGGCATGCTGGGCGCGGGTAAGGGACAATTCGTCCCCGGACAACTTGTTCCCTGACAACTCGTTCCCGAACAATTCGTTCCGAGGACTATTCGTCCCAAGACAATTTGCCCACGGACTTTTCGTCGCCTAGGACTATTCGTCCGAGGACTATTCGTTCCCGACGACTATTCGTCCCCGGACAATTCCTTCCCGACGACTATTCGTCCCCGGACAATTCGTCCCCTAGGTCTATTCGTCCCCTAGGACTATTCGTTCTATATGTTTTTGAAGGCCAAATGAAGGAAGAAATTAGTAGTAGGGTCGCCTGTCCAACATCGTGGGTGTTCTCGAGGTCCTCCAGTTTCCTCCCACTGCTAAAGACCCCTATTGAAATAAAATTGAACCAAAGGTTGGTCCTGAAATGACCTAGTTTGTGTCAAGTTGACGTTAAACCTCATTTTTTTTTCTCTCTACGAGAGCAGCTGCCTCATCAGGAATGATGTCAGCCAAAGCTTCAAATGCGTCTATAACTCTATCAACAGGTACAAATGCCAGTGCTGGGAGCATTCTGATCATTAGCGCAAGTTCATTGTCCTCTCTGTAATCTGGAGCTAATCCCGACTCCTGAACTCTTCTCCACACTGCTTGGCTCAGATGATAGAAACAGTAATTGATGGTGGCATTAGGAAAAGTCAAAGAGACGCAAAATTTTACTATAAAGTTGGGTTTGGTTTTGTACTCATTTGATGCCCCCTCCCGCCCTTCTGCACTGAGCCTCCAGACTATTACACTATTTTGCCTATACCGTTTTTTTTAGGACTTCGAATTTTGTTAAATGGTTTTATTTTATTATATATATATTTGTTTGGTACATTAGAACTATAATTTGGGGACCCCTTTAACATTGGGGCCCCTGGCTCAATCCCGACCGGAACCCCACTTAATCCGGGCCTGGTGGAAATGGATTGTATGTTGGATCCCGAAATGCAATAAAAAAAATCTTTCGTTGTCTCCAGATATATGTGCCAAAACTCCTACACCTTTTGTTTGGTCCAGGGTAAGTTGAAGTACAATCGGCCCGAGTGGACACCATAATTTGGAATAATATACTGTTTTCAAAATAAATAAAATTCATCTCTTCGTTTCCACTAAAATTTATAATGATGTATGAATGCGGTGCAGAAATAGTGAATCAAACTTGTTACGTTTTCTCATCATTTTACGAATTCTTCACCGCGATGAGGCCCAACGAAACCAAATGGTCCGTGGGCCTCCATGGACTCAGTCCGAGGAAAACAATGATCTATGAGCGAGGTGCAGGAATAGTAAATCAAACTAGTTTCGTTTTCTCATCATTTTACGAATTCTTCATTGCAATGGGGGGACAAGGGAAATCGGTTGGTGCAAGAGCCTCAATGGACTCAACCCGAGGAGAAAAATTATTTGTGAGTGAGGTGCAGGAGTAGTGAATCAAACTAGTTTCGTTTTCTCAATTTACGAATTCTTCACCACAATGGGAGCACAACAAAACCGCTTGGTTCGAGGTTCCAGAGCTTCCCCGTTTGCACCTGAAAATTCGGATTGTGATTATAAATTTTAATGGTTGTAAGTTGGAAAGTTTTTAAGATCGAAACTGAAATCAGAGAAAATTGGATATCAGCCACAACCAGTCCATCACCAGCAGCGTTAACTGTTTCCTGTGCCACTGAGGTTGAGAGCCAACAAGCAAGGAGGATTGATCCACGGTGCGGGGAAAATGTGCCAGGAAATAACTAATATATTCAAAAAGCGATAGAAAAAAAAATACTTTCCGGTGATGCATTAAGAATTAAGAACACTGACCAAAGAGCTGTTTGCTCCAATAAGACGGATTAACTTCAGTTGAATAAATCTATGTACAACATTTGGTTGAAATTCATCAACCGATTTGCGAGAAATTGAATATATACTCTTCAAAAAAAAAGTAGGGGATATTGAAATGCAAATACCTATGCAGGTTGCGATATGATAAATACTTTCCGGTGATGCATTAAGAATTAAGAACACTGACCAAAGAGCTGTTTGCTCCAATAAGACGGATTAACTTCAGTTGAACAAATCTTTAAACAACATTTGGTTGAAATTCATCAACCGATTTGCGAGAAATTGAATATATACTCTTCAAAAAAAAATAGTAGGGGATATTGAAATGCAAATACCTATGCAGGTTGCGATATGATAAATAGTCATGAACACGTGACATGCTTTGAGAGTATGTTCACAGATGAAGAACTTGTCGTCCCAACAGAACCACTAAGCTGCACATGCGACACGCAATAGCGCCATACACGTGTGAGGGGTTCATTGTCAAATTGACACTTCAAGGAAGGGTTGATGAAAATTCCGGGTGCTGGTTTATCTATCCATGTTTGCTTTCCTATCGGTTCTTGCATAAGATGTGTTGTTTAGTGTATCTTTGCTTTAGTGTGTTACGTTTAATTTGATCCGGAGACGTGTTCGTCGACGTCAACGTCAACCCTACAAGAATTGGCCGTGGCACTGAAAGAAGAGTTGGTCAGATTGCCCCAAATCGTGATTGGACGGTTGATTAGGAGCATGCCACGACGAATTGCTGAATGTCTGAGGATTGGTGGAGCAATTACTCATTATTAAGACAAAAATTAAAAACGTCCATTTTCACTTTTGACGGTGTATCTCTTTGCGACTGAAATGGGGCCGTCAGATAAGCCGCCCATATGAACTGTTTATGTTCATGTGTAGGCAATTGGCCTGTTATTAACATACACTGGTTACCTCTAATAAAAACAGCAGTGCATTTCCGCAGTTTTGTATTGTTTTTTTTTGAAGAGTATAGATTAGATTGACGGTTGGACCATGAACAGGATAATGACATAAGCTCATAGGCCCTTCAGACCCAAGGTGCACGCTATATTTCTTCTGTGGATAATTCTGGGTGACTTACCGACCGACGGAGGAGCATAGGCGGATGACGACAGTACACGGCCAAATTTCAGTGTGGACGTATAGAACACATCTGTAAAGAATACAGACCCCGAGAAACGAACTAGTATTAATATAATGTTTCCTTGCGATGCAAATGTGATATTTAAATTACTCTCCATACCCTTTTTATATTACAGAGGCTGATCCAAGGGGGCAGGAGGGGCGCCCCCTCCCCCTAATTTTCGACAGTGCCCTTTTTACAGCTGAAAGTGCCTTTTCTCAGACCCAAATATGTCCGTTCCCAACCCGTTGCAGGGATCCCAAATGACCCAAACCATCGACTCAAACACACCAGTCTCGTCTAATTAATGCTTCCACTTTCAAACGAATTCTTGTTGTTTAGCTGACGGTGCCCCAATCCTATAGAGTGACTATAGACAGACATCAATGATAGCATCTTGTGGAATCGGCGGCGTATCACCGACGTGAAACTTGATGTAGCATAGTTTCATGTGTGGACAGTACACAGTACAAGTTACAAGGATTAAATAGTGAAGTGGCTAGGGAATAGATTCGTCTTTTTTCCAATAATAATGCCTCGCTCGCCTTGACAATTTTCGAGTCGTATGTTCAACTGGCTTTTTTGCTCGATTTTAAGGCTCTTTTTCAACGATTTCCGAACGTCTACTTAGACGAAAATATCTGCCAAATAGCTCTTGGAATGGCTACAGATGCAAGGAAATGGTGGATAATTTTCTTGGGGGGACCCCCCACCCACAAAACCCCCCCTCTCAGCGGTATGCCCCTTCTCCGCGGTGAGAGGCCCGCATTTTGCGGCGCCCCCCCCCCCTTTTCAAAATTCCTAGATCCGCCTCTGTAATATAAGTTGTTAAAATAGATAATATAACCAATTTCATATAACTGACCCCCCCCCCCCCACCAGATCTGCCCAAAATCTACATTTTGTTGTTTAGACGAATGTTGTAAAACATGACATGCGCTGTGCACACTGGGCCGGAACAAGACGCATCACAAAAATCATGTTAAGTTTATACTGACAGAGAATTATATAGAAAAGTGTTATATTGATTTAATATAGATTAAACAGAAAGATACAATCCTATGTGGTTTGCGCTATATATCCATTTTTTCAGTAAAATTCAATGTACAATAAAACAAATGAAATGAAGTGGGGTTAACATCCTACTGGTTTGCTCCCACTGGGCTAATGAAGACGTGCATACGCCATGCTGTGTGCTAGGTCCCACTCTCATATATCAAATTCCAGCTGCCAATGTGTACACGGGACCTCGGTTTTTCGTGCCATCCGAAGGACTAGATAGCTGTACTTGTCTGGGCCTCCGTCCTGCACCAATGACATGGGGAAACCACACCGCAAAAATCCGATGAACTAACAATAAAATAAACCAAAGATTCAGAACATTAACATGCCCCACATAAACTACAGAGTTGTACAATAGACTGAACAAAAACTGAACAAAAACAGAACAATTAGAACAATGATACAATTGTAGTATCACAACGGGCATACTTAAAATTTAGTAACCGGCGCAGAAACATTTTCCAAATGTAAAGTTATTTGTTGTCCATCACAATTTAAATGAATGTCTAGACAATATGTTACTGAAACCATATTTTAATAGATAGCGGACTGAAGGCAAGACCTTCCCAAAACGCATCACTAATATCCCCACTCCAATTGCCACCAGGAGGATGGTTTAGAGAACCAAGAAGATTGCACCTGGCGCAGTTCTCGTTATACCAGAATGGTGCCTGGTAATCAGCTGCACAGCTTCGTGTACTGTTGTTATCATTATCTTTGTCAAACGTCGAAAATGCTGCTCCAACTGGATGCTCCAAACATGCGGGTGACTGCACAGGTCCCAAATTCGCAATACGGTATCCATTGCTTTCATTTCCGATACTAAAGCCTTCTATACATGTTGATGTATATTGTTCAAACATAGCCTTGAATTCATAGCAAATTTGCCGGGGTGTATATCGTGTCATAATATGGATATGTTCCAAGCCTATCCAGCCATCGGCTTCTTCGTGGTTTGGATCACTCCAGAAGCCCTCGCTCAATTCGCGCCAGGACCTATTAAAATCGTACAACGAATCGTAATGTTGCATCAACATATCTCGTCCACCCCAATTCATTCTACAGACGATTCTTATTGGTTGAGAGGTTCCAGGTGGTAATATATAAAAATATTTTTTCTGCAAGTGGTAATATGGTCGTTTGCAACCCTCTGCACAATCTAAAATGAAAGAATGGAGATTTAATCACGATATTCTGCTTTGATTTTAATACACTTGAGATAAGATGGAACCTTACCATGAATGGAGTTGGCGGTTATGAAAATATATATGATTTGATTTTGCTATTACGGTCAATATTTTAAATTTCATATCATTAATGAGTTTGACATTTATAAAACCGTCAGATAAATATATAAATATATCCCGCCTAACAGTATTTGTTTATATGGCATAACGAACCGCATTCTGAATACATTATTGAGTCACGAATGACGTACGATGTATGGTGTACACAACGTCATAGTCATGGGGACATTGGGTTTCAAAGGGCAATGCTGGAGACCGATTACAGAAATGCATATCATTAAACCCATTGTTTTCTTTCCTACAGAATTGTAATATAAATTTCCAGAATATATATAGACATTGACCTATTATTGTAATTTTCATTAACAGATTGTAGTTGTCTTACTTTGCATTAGTCTTTCACATCTGTCACCAATGTATCCATCAATACAATCACAATATAATGGTGACGAAGAACGGTTACCACCATGTAAACAGTCCTGTAAATTAATAAGACCAACATCCATTAACAGACAATGTTACAGTATAACAAAGATACCCGTATATGCTGTTGCAGTGGTAGATTGTTTTTCACAAAGAGCCAAATTCCTTGGTCACATTAAAATTTCAACCGTCGTCTTCTAACAAATACATAATTACCCCATTCGGTATTCGTCGTTTATTTTACGTGCGTAAAGATGACGATTGAACTTTGCATTTGTACGTATGCGCAACGCTCCATTGTGAACGCGTGAGAGAGAGCGGGAAAGCGGGAAATGAAATGAAGTGGGGATTAACGTCCTATTGTTCTGCTCCGACTGGGCTAATGAAGACAGGCATACGCCATACAGCGTGCTATGAGGGAAATTATTTGCCCGGATAGTGGCACTACGGCCTAGTCTTATATCGAATTCCAACTGCCAAGGGGTCTTTTACGTGCACGCCAATGTGTACACGGAGCCTCTGAATATACGTTGTTACTTGCTACGACGGAAAATCTGAATCGAACACGAGACCTCCAGGTGAGCGAGCCAACGTCTTACTCACTTAGCCAGCGTGGCTCCGACAGAGAGAGAGAGAGGGGGGGGGGGCGGGGGCATAGAACGAATACGAATAATTTAACTCTTCGATAATGAATAATGTTTTTCAGTATGATGTTTGTATAAAAAATACAATTAATAAACGTTAATGTAGACATTCAATAACAATCTCCCTGGTAATGGTAATTTGATGTTGGTGTTGTGGGGAGAGATGTATACAGAATAAAAGATTCATAAGAGGATTACGTTCGGATAGAGCGCTCGAAATTAACATTGGCATATAGCATAATGGTGATAAAAGCCGAAGCAAACACGGCCTGCTATCTTGTAAAATAAAAATGGTGTTTTTGTACTAGACCATACGTTCACATCACCAAGTGTTCGTGTAATAAAAACGACATACCGAATGGTTTGCTACACTAAAATGATATTCCTTTTTTATAGATACAGTATAGGTGATATTAGGGTAGGCATAATGCTGGCGTCACATTGTCCCGAAATTGACACCCGATGGCCATACGAATATGGAATTTTGAAATTCGCGCGAAGATATTCCCGAACTTGGTCAAAATCCAATCAACAGCCGAAGCAAGTGCAATGCCCACAGAACGTCACACGATGACACCCTAACCACACACGGAGGTAATACGAAGATGTGAATTTGTATTGTAGTTTATACCCGCAGGACACACGAAGGCCAAAGGAAGATGCTTTATCGGGCGTCACGATCTCTCGAAATTGACACCAGATAGTCACACGATGAAGTGAATTCGGCTCTGATCGTAAAAACATCGGGCCATTCGTGAGGGCATCTTAAGCCATCGTATGACCGCCTGTGAGCGCTGGCAAAATCTTTGGTACGCCAAAAAATTGCCGAAAGATCTTGGGAAGGTTAACTTTCGTATTGCATACTTTTACACTATTTGCGTACCGGGAGCGGCCATTTTGTCGGGCAGTTTCGGTCCGATTTTCACAAAATTCGAACTCAACCGTCATTGTGGTGTAACGTTTTTCTAAAATCAGATAAAAATAGAGAGGGACAACACGCTAAAAGCACGATTTTTCATACAGTCAGGGGTCATAATCCATGATACATGCCAATGTCGAATGGAACCGAGCTCATTGGGCGATAACTCGACATTTCAAGTTTTTGTCAAAATCGGATAAAAATTATGACCTGTAGAGTGTTAGCAAACAGATTGTGGACGGACGTCCGGACGGACAGCGGCGACGACAATGTGGACGTATACGAATGTCCAATGACACCGATGATCAGACGAAGTAAAGAGGAAGATGACACGATTTGACAAGATGCCCTCACGATGGCCTTATGAAGGACAAAATGGACACACGAATTCAAAACGATAATGAACCTTTGTAAGTGTTTGCTAGCGCTCAAGAAGTTGCTGCCCGGGCCTGTGAATCTCCACAGGATATCATACGATGGCTTAAAATGACCTCAGGAATGACTTGATGTTTTTACGCCCATGTCAATTTCGGGTCATTGTGACGCCTGCTTTATTGTGGTAAAATCCGAAGCCAGCACAGGCTTCGAAAATACCGAAAATGAAAAACCCCGAAAAATACGGAAAAATACCCCCCAAAAAAGAACAAAAAACACGGAAAAAGTTTTTTGAAACTTATAATTACCGCAAAAATCCGAAAAAAAATAAATACCACAAATCACTAAATACCGAGAAAACAACACGAATTACCCTTTTTTGTCGGATTTTTTCCGTTAGCCCGGCTTCTACAGAAAAATAAAAATTTGTTGTAGTAGACATTATCAAGTGTTCGTGCAATAAAAACGACATACCGAATGGTTTGCTACACAAATATGATATTCTTTTTATAAAGATACTATCGGTGTAATTATTAAAAAAATGTTCAGCACAGCTGTAACATCTCGGTATGGATTGTGAAATTCGGAATCGCGCTGTTTTCAACGCTCGGAATCCCAGGTAAATATTAAAAAAATATTTGGGAACGCTGATCAGTTGGTTTACGCCGATGACACTAAGGTCTAGTTTTCATTTAAATCCGATGATTGGTGTATCAATTCAATTGAAACGTGTAGATGAAATCAGGGCATGGATGACATACATTTTTATTCTAAATTTCGTTATCAGTCTATTTTAAACAATGTTCGTATTGGTAGTGAATTTGTGCACCCCGTAAATAGTGTTAGAAATCTTGACACAACGAATCCATTTAAAGTACTTGTCACGGTTTTTAAAATTCTACACAATCAAGCACCTTCGTATTTATGTGATCTGATCTCCTATCGTCAGTCAACTAGAACCACCAGATCTTCATCAGATATACAACTTTCGAGCCGAGATACAAGAAGGAGTTTTATGGCAAGCGAGCGTTTTCTATTGCCGCCCCTTGTTTTCGGAATGCCACACATCCGTATATACTGTCACTTGAATCTTATAAATCCCTACTAAAAACATATTTTATTATTATTATATGCTGACGTAAAGGCTCAATTTAAAAAAAAATATACAAGGCTGTGGTATTTTTGGTTAGGCCTATGGTTGTCATGTGATCGCGTCCGTTGGGAAAACGAATAAATGATAGATCGAAGAGAAAAGGTATAAACAAATTTCGATAACTTTATATTACACTGTACTCGGATGATAAGTCAAATAAAACTTTTGAGATCTGGCGGTTTTATCAAAACAGGCGCCTCTTCTATATTGATTCCCACTTATCGGGAATGGGGGTTGGATGGTCGAATGGTTAGCACGTGCGCGCTGTATCATAAGGTCTGTCATTGCGTCAACTGGCGGGGTTTCGATTTCCCGGTTGTACGTGACAAGGAGTAGGGTCGCCTGTCCAACATCGTGGGTTTTCCCCGGGTCCCCTGGTTTCCTTCCACTGCTAAAGACACCTACGCGAAGGCGAATTATTGAAACAAAATTGAACATGTTTTAGTTCCGAAATGACCTAGTTTGTGTCGAGTGGACGTTAAACTCCCCCTCTCTCTTTTCGGGAATTTATTAAAAATTATTATTTCATAATTATGTTAAGTGTTATTGTCACCAAATTTACAATATACATATATGTATTTAAAGTAGTATATGACGAAAATTTAACCTTTTAACCTTGGTACCACGCAGCGATAAAATTAGCACCTTGATGAACAAGGACCCGACCGCGAAATAGATGAAGTTCTAAAATATTATACATTTATTCGAAATCACTGGCTAAGGAAACTTTGACAGTTTTGATGGCAAATTCTTTCTGCCGTCCACAGCCCCTTGTGACATGTCCTTTCTACTTCTGAGTGCAAGGGATTTAAGTGATTGACTCATACGAACCAATTGTCCAAGATCCTGTTGTTCGTAGATCACTAACAAGAATTGTGGATAACATGTTCAACGACAATATATCATGAGCATTTAGAAGAATAAAAAAGGGTGTTAGTGTATCTAAAACTTCGCGAAATTTTAAATTTGATCTCCATTTCATCTATAAGAACCCACTTTCATAGAGTAAACGTAATAAAATCAAAATGATATACATTACCTGTGCTTTACCCTTCTTTTCATAATATACAACATATTTCTCATAAACGGCATTCGAACAATTTTCAGCAATAAAACCACGATTAAGAGAACATTCGAACGTTGTTTTAAGAAAATTTAGAGAGAAGCATTCAATATCCAATGCACACTTTTTTGCGCATTCCAAAGCACTTCTTGTTTTGAAGAGTTGGTAGTTTTCAAATGAGTGAATTTTATGTTTTTTGCACGTAGGGTTTGATATAAATTCATCATTGAGAATTGTTGTTCCAGCAAAGTAAACATAATCGTAGAATACAAAAATTACGACTACCCGGTTGAAATCCATCACTGAACGACTGACTAACTGTATGACCACTGGGGAGTGAGCTTTAACTCAGTGTTCGGTGTGAAATAAAAATCGATTATGCGTGTAATATATATATATATATAGTTAAGGGTGACAAACTGCGTAAAAGCTTAGCGACAAACCACAGAGATACACAACAGATGAACCAAGAACCTACCCCACCAAAAACAACAGAGTAACACATACCCAACCAAAACCCCATTTCATTTAGTTTTCAATGTTTATAGTTGTCAGTCATTGCAAAATGTGTTTTTCAACCAAAGATGTATTGTAAGATTTGCAAGAAATAATAAATGATTTCGATTTAAATATCAAATTCACAATTGCAAATCGCATTCTTGGACTTTCTAGTGAAACGAAGGGGGAGGGGGCGGATCGTTATAACGGATATGTATTCAAAAGAAATAGATACCCATTGTTTTTTTTAAATATTTTCTCGTCTCAATGGTTAAAACTGCTAGTAAGAGTGAAAATTTACTACCCTACCCATTGCACAGCCAATGAGTTGTTTATAATAGAATCAAAATAAAAGCAATTGTTTTCTAATATGGAAATTGACACAAATGTTTGACCAGTGGATCTCATAGAACCTTTTCTTACAATTCGAATCGGGACGATCAAGTTGCCCCCGTTGGACCATTTGACCTCTATTCGGGGCCAAGGGTCAAATATAGTCACCTCAAGGCTCAGTGACCCTGAGAGAGACACGGCCCTCGGTCATTCATTTTAGACTTAGCGGGGTGCGGATGCAGTGATGCAATGATCAGAGCGGCAAAAGCTACTGAATCACTTCGGAAAAGCCAAACTATGACATCTACAGATTTTGTCTTATGTGTACTTGCTCTCACATATTAGTACCCTGTTATAAGTATGTACGGGGAAATTAGAGTGGGGTAGTGAAATGTTTTTAATTTAATAGTAAGACAGTTGTCCGATGTCAGGTGTGGTCCCCAGTCCCTCCTTATCTTTAGGTTCCTCCTTCATCCTAGTGTCACTCATTGACCAAAACAAAGTACCTGTATGAGTAGCAGAGACGGTGTTACATGTCGGATTTGGTAAAAACGTGATTTCGCTTCCATGTTCGACCGACTATGCTACACTAAGGCTCAGAATAGACACTCAAGCATAATTCAAAATGGACCAACATTTCTAATAACTGTTCAGATTTGAATTCTAGGGAACAGTTCTATAAGACCCGCTGGTCAGAAAGTAGTGCCCATTGGATTAACCCCTCCATTATCATGAATAGTATTGAACTAGAGGTTTAACCCCTTTACTGATGTTAAAACTTGTGAGGTCTTGAACTTACTCAAATGTGTTACAAAAGGTTTATTTATGGATTAGTCTAAACAACACATTTAAGATGCAAAGATGCACACCTCCTTGCCTTTTTTACTTGTGTTTTATTTACACTTTGTTTGTTTTGGGATTGGGTGGGTGCTTATCTATACTAATATTTGAGAATGTCGTTTGTTGGTTTGTCTATCTGTCTATTCAGGTTTGGCGGCTACAATATAGGGGTAGCTCAATCCGGGGAGTAACATAGGCCCGATGGAGATGGCCTACCACTTCCGGTTTCAGAGTTACTAAATGAAATGAAATGGGGTTTAACGTCCTACTGTTCTGCTCTGAACTGGGCTTTTGAAGAATTTCGACAAAAATATAACCATGTATCAGTGAGGGTAATGTATTTATGTCCCGGACTCACTGACACAAATCGTGCTGTTATTTTAAAATTAGTCATATATATTATAACATCTTCCATTAGTCCGGATGGTGCGGAACAATTGGACGTTAAACCTCGTTTAATTTCATTTCTTTCTGAAATAGTTTGCACAATATTTGTTAACGTAGCATGTATTCCCGTCACTTTAGTAATCGAGATATCTTTTAGTCAATAAAAAACAAGTATCTTCAGTTTACATGTTTATACTAAAATTACTGTTGATTTAGCAATGTTATTGATTTTTGGGGATATATGATACATGGTGGCAAATACTACCTTGAGAGTGGAGACACCCCTTATCAGTACATAAGTGATATTGTCGAGATAATGTATTCAACAATACCTTGACTACTATACATAACTACAGAAACAAAACCAGATATATATAAAAAGTTTAACATAATTCATCGAAGTCCTTTTCGCTGTAAGTTAGTATGGATACAAATTGGGGATGCAACGTACTGTTGCTGTGTTCTGTAATATCTACAATCTTTTTCATAAATGTTACTGACGGTAAGATACATTCATATGAAGATGTGATTTTGTATTTGCTTACATCAGTCTATTATCGACGTATTGCCGTTGCCGTTGTATTTGTCTATTCGTGGAAAAAATGTGAATTAGTTTTTGATAGGCTATGCAATTTTGATTCTGGAGTAAATTCCATTAACCATGCAAGATGTAGTTCTGATACCGTTTACGCACATCCACCCAGTGTAATATTTGTGTCTTTTGCTAATAAGAAATATATGAAGAGCCCCGGGGAAGAACGGTTTAAGTCACTTTTTCAACGAACTTTAGTTAATGGCGCCATCTGGTAGCAAATTGTATAAGCTTTCTGTGGAACAATCAATTTCAGGTAAAAAGATCGGAGTCACATCGAACCAAGACCCTTCTGAAATGGCCTCCCGGACCCTTTATTTGACCCTAATTTGGCTGAAAAGTGGAAGTCAGTTGTTGTATTGGTAACTATGATTCGTATTAAACATGATTTTGAAGTTTTAATTAAACCCACTCGTTGTTCTGTTCGCGTCAAGTATTCTCGTCCAAAAGTCTGTTTTGCCTTTTATCTTTTATGCGAAAAGACAAAAATGTGACTTAGATCGTTCTTCCCCTGGACTCTTCATATCCGTTGATTTATTAATTATTTGACTGCTTAATCATACCTATACGGAGAGACTGGCCATCCAAAGTATGGCTAAGTCCGTCTTTATTATAATAAGAATAGTAAGACGTTCAACCCCATTTCATTCATTTATTTATAGACGTATTTAAACTGGGCAAAAATTGATGACACTGTCGCTACTAGTAATTGTCATATTGTTATTGCTTTAAGGTCAGACAACAACACCATCTTTTACAGAACGACTACGTAAGTATACCATGTAATCTACTCCAGTCAATCATTCACATTTTCTTAATACTGTAATGAAGACCACGTTGTCTGCCTAATCAGCAAAACCACCTTTACCCATTCTGATTTGTGAATTGTAAAAGGTATGTGAATCCGTATATTTGTGATGAAGGGATGTTTTCCTTAATAATTGGCCGTGCTTGCTGGCCTAAATGATACACGGTGCTTGCTGGACTAAATGATACACGCACATACATTGTAAAAACTATTTGAATGGGAAAGAGTAACCCTAAATTACATATAGTTCTCTTTTGCTATTTTGTGTCGTTTCCCTATCTTAATACCTGTGCTTTGGATCATAACGTCTATCATTGGGTCATTTATCGTGGTTTCGATCCCAAGCTGATATGTGACAAGGAGTTGGGTTGCCTGGCCAACCTCGTGGGTTTTCTCGTGGTTTCCTCCCACGGTTAGTAAATTATTGTATCATATCACTAAACAACACAGCATGGAGGAGGAATCGTTCTGCACCACTGTCAGGGGACATCCACGTTGAAACATCCCAAGGAACTTTCTCGACTAACAACGTGATCGAAGTCGTCTCTTAGTTAGCGAGTCAGCGCCTTACTCACTAACCTACCATAGCACCATAGCTTCTAGAGATTAAAATATCGACTGTCCAATGACGAGTTGAAAAACTAATTTTCTGGATTGAATTATACATAGTTAATGTATATAAACAATTTTAATTTATACCCCAATATTTATAGATTGACTAATATAGTATTAAGGAATCGGTTCCAAAAGCAACGTTTTAAACATATATACTTTGTCCAACATTTTTCTGTCTCAGATGGCATGGACGGTGATTCGAAAGTGAACACAACAGGAAAGGTACTGGTATTATATAACGGTACTTGGGGTGCAGTATGCGGTACAAATTGGGACGATGTAGATGCTAAGGTTGCATGCACTGAGGCAGGGTTTCAAAATGGAAAGGCTTATGTAACGAACTTTTATGATCAAGATACGCCTACCTGGGTGTACGAAGCTGATTGTTCGGGATCAGAACAAGAACTTAAAGAGTGTGACCTGACAAGACAAGTTGGGTCATGCCCAGATAGACTAGGCGCCATGGCCTATTGTTATAATGATACCGAAGGTAAGTGTAAATAACTTTGACACGGTTGATTCCTACAAATATAGTTTATATATACACATGTTCGTGTTGATGTATTTGATCACAACACATTGTTTATGGGCACAACTGTATCCTACTTTAATAAAACTTGTGTTTACAACCTAAAGATCTCGGATGGGATCGATCTTGACGTATTGGATCATCACTTCATGGATTGTACGAAAACCACCAACGAAGCACTAGTTTGAGGAATTCTATTCTTATTCGGGAGCAGGACAATTGCCGGCGGAACAACTGCCGGTGGGACAACTGCCGATGATATCATTTGTTTTTTCTGTATTTAGGCCCTTTTTGTTAAAAATAACCAATACTTAAAGCGAGAATTTCAAATTTTCTAAGAAAGTCAAAACATAATTATTTCTATGTCTTTTGCTCAATAGGTTATCAAATCACTATTATACGATCATGGGCATTATTTCCCACCCTTAAAAATCTATGACACAGGAAATAACAACACAATTACCTCCCCTGTTTTGCTATTGACAACATGGGGCAGCCATTTTCCAACGTTGGAATTTGAAGTTAAAAATGATATTTTTGCCAATTTCTCAGCTGGCAATAGCGAATTATAGGATCAATAGGATTATTCTTTAACAAGGTAGGACTGTTTATGGATACCATCTATTTTAAGTCTTTATTTTAATACATTTTAAAAATATAACTTGAAAATTTGCAATTGCAACTTTAATAATTAAATATTCTTTATTATTATCATACCTGTTCAGTTTACGTAACACATTGTCTATAATAGCACTGTGACTGGCTGACTGATATTACAGTCACTGACACAAAATTATCACAGGTGAATAGTATGTGCAATACTACGTAAATAGTCCAACCCATTGCGACTGTTGAATTTACGGACAATGTTTAGTACACGCTCTGCACAGTCTCTGTACTTTTAAGTTATGTTTTGATAATGATTACATGTATTGTGCTCATCTATCAATTAATAAACTATACCAAAACAAAAACCCCAATAAAAATCATTGGCAATAAGATTAACAGTTATGTTTTTATAATAATTACATATATACATTTCTAAGTATAGTTTATAACTGTTGCCTTATTTATCATTTAATAAACTATACTAGAAAGAACAAATAAAATCAACAGTTATAAACTATAATAATAAAAGAAAAATAAATAAATAATAAAATGGTCGGCAGTTGTCGAAAACCTTCTGAACGCAACAGTTTTTAAGGGAATTATTTGATGAGAGGATGATATTTAGCGCTCCACAACCTTCCGTTCCAGAATTACTCATATTTACCCGAAAACCGCATCAGCTTTTAAGGAACTTGTCAAATTCGATTTGAAGCATAAGACAATAAGAGGAAGAGCTCTATCGATTTCCCGCTTGTGTCAGTTCATGTCAATAATTACACTGAAAGAAAAATATCTACACAAGTTTTATCCTTTTACCGAAATAATCCACGTTCTTCCGAATTTAAGTCTTCGAAGACAAATCAATTATTTCGGTTTTTTTTATCTACATGTATATACACGATCAATCTACTAGTATTATTAAATTTTGTCGATAAAAATGTTGATTTATTTAATTGTTTTACATTTAGCTATAGACTATTCACTGGTAGGTACTGGATCTAATTATGGAATTGTACAAGTCACTAGAGATGGTAAAACAGGCTATATCTGTGGTATCGGGAATCTAAATAATGGGGAAGCTGGAACTGTGTGCCGAACTATGGGATTTACAGACGGTGACAATTATCATACTTCGGTGACTACAACAAACCATGAATGGTGGAGAGGTTTTTTTAACTGTTATCAAACACCCCCCTTCCTCCATGTTTGTAAAGGGCCTGATTGGGAGTACATTACACCCAGTGACTCTTACGCCACCCAAGAGTGTCGCTTAAATACTCTCTCAGTTTACTGTTATGGAACATGTAAGTAAATAATATAACTCATAACTCAAGGTCAATTGCGTGGTTAAGAAAGTCATAATCAAATTCGTTGCGACTCACTGTCAACCCTGTGGTGATTAGGAACACTATAGGCAAATAGGCTATTGGGGTTTATCGTGTGTGGAAGGCTACGTGTTTTCGAGATGGTAATCGACCTAAGAGCATTATTGCCACTATTGCTTTGACAGTTTTCTATGTAGAAAGTTCACTATTTACTCGAATTTGCATTTGGATGTACTTGAGTGGTATACTATTTTGCCATTTCACGAATGCCCTATAGGATCTATTATGTAATGTATTTTATACTTCATTACATAAAATTCAGTAGATTTCGTTTCTTTTCTGATTTAGCATGCTACAGTACACATCACATTATGTGCTTCTTAATTTATATTTTATAGTCTGCATTTTAATGTTAAAGTTTTATTTAAGGTGACTTGTATTTTCAGTACGACCAGGTTTGAAGTACAAAAACGTAGCGGGATATCCTAATAACGAGAGAATAGTTCCTTCCATGCTCTCTGTTCTGATTGCGTTACTGTGAACTTTAAAGTAGCTAATTTAAATCAATTTAAATCAACATTGATGTTGTGATTTTACCGGGAAAAGATGGGCTTCTGATATCCAATATTGAAGACAAAATTAAACATTTTACCATTGGTATACGAATCGTGTACCATACCGAGTTTTAGCGCCATTTGTAACAAGCGACTCGAAGAACGAGGCTAGACATATTCCAATCGTCATGTCAAACGTTGACACCATATTCTTATCTGGAGAGCATGCGCAATAAATACTTTCAGTATAGAATAGAATAACCAGACGCTAGAGATTGCCATTCAAGTCAGACTTATGGCGTATTCGCCGAACATAACTGATTAGAATTTACAATAAAAACAGAAATGACTGAATGTAAATCAGTTATATATGTTCGTATTACATTATTATATGCGTTGCGACCCATTTGTGTCAATTTCTAGGTCCAAAGTTTTAGCGATTTAGCTCCTTTAACATACAACAATTTGGTGATTCATAATATATCCTAGTTTTACCTTTCAGTAAGACTACATAGCAAGTTTAAGAATAGCAGTGGTGTCTTGTTGAAAAGAGAGAATCGTTACTACTATGCTTTCTGTTCTGATGAGTTTAACATGAACTCAGCTAATGCTGTATGTAAAGATTTAGGATTTAATAATGCTAGATTAATATTGCCAGCATCAATATATAATATCGGATATTCTGTCAGATTCTCCAATCTACAATGTTCTGTTGGTGCTACATCTATGAAACAATGTACATCAGTATATAACAGCAATACCTCCTGTAATGGAGGGGCAGTGGCTGTTGCTTGTGATGATGGAAAGCCACTCGTAAAAGGTAAAAATGAACTGAAACGAAATGCATGTTTAGCTCCCCACTTTTCTGCACCAGCCAGGCTAATGAACACGAGCGTATATCATCCAGTGTTCTGAGGGAATTAATTAAAAGGACACCGACCTTTCCGACTATTCTTAACCGATTTAAAACTGTCAAAAGGTTGGGTTTTTTTTACTTTCGATTCCCCCGTTTGTACGTGACAAAGAGTAGGGTCGCAGGTCCAACCTCATGGGTTTTCTCCGGGCCCCCAGTTTCTCCCCACTGCTAAAGACCCGTACGCGGAAATTGAACCATATGTTAAACCCGGAATGACCTAGTTTGTGTCGAGTGGACGTTAATCCCCATTTTTCTCATTCTCACTGTGTTTCACGTAAACGCCAACAATGTTTTTTCGCGTGAACAGCGAAATCACGCTGAAAAATCCCCCTTGTTAGCTGACGCCTCACAAACTGAGCCACCGGACTGCCTTATACACGCTATTCCTGTATGTATTTAAATATCGTATTACAGATTAGTTAAAACTATTTACATAGTTTACAGGCTTATTCTTCTTGCATAAGATATGACCTTATATGATAAGCTAGCTGTGTCGTAAATAAAACCTTAACACGGAAGCTATTTTCAAATATGCCACATTGGTGTAATAATGTAATGATGCATCTATACAGAGTCTGGACCCCAGCAATATAACACTGTTGTGCTGTCCAGTGGCAACATTAGCCTAACAGAGTCCACTAATTTAACACATCATTTCTTGTATTCTTAATGTTATAAATTAATGACGCATTTATCGAGCTCACAAATACCAAGAATGATAAATTTCCTAGAATAAGTTTATTACTTTTACATTTTCTAGAATTCGTTTTAAATAATACATCAAATATATTTAAGATTACTTAAAATTACCTTTAATATCCTAGATAATTTGATAAAAATCGCCATAGATGGTACTGTTCAAGTGAGTAAAAATGGTATATGGGGTAACATAAATGCTTATAAATGGGACAATGCGGATGCTAAAGTATTATGTAAAGAACAAGGATTTGATACCGGCGAGATGAAACAATCAATCTACTCCGACAAACCACGGTAATGTTGGCCTGCTTTAATTTAAGACGACAAACTCCGAAAGTGTGCATGGTCGCCATTTCGGGAATTTAAACACCTTACAAGCTACAATATCGTGAAAGTTGAATCTCTACAAACAATATTAGACCAAACATTGTTCAATTCCGATCAACGATTCGAAATAAACGGTCCTACTAAGAACCGAGATTTTTCTAGTCAATGGTTTGGCCCATATGGACTATAAGCAAATGCTGTTGTCGGTGATAAAAGGGCCCATTTCGGTTAAATTTAGTATTGTATTGACTGAATAGGATAATCTCTTCACGATTTAATTGGTGCTTCCTTGAAGTAATCCGAAGCCGGATAATTTAGTTTTAATTATCATATTATCTTCATGTGTTTAATATGTAGACGCATATAAGACGTATAAAGGCTGGTTTACAGATATCGAGTTTATCTCAATTGAAGAACTCAATGTATTGATCTTATCTTTGTAGATGGATGTTTGATGTTGATTGCCAAGGCGACGAAAACAGTATATTCAGTTGTCCCTACAAAGATTTGCCTGATAATGATACTACATCTTTAAGTGGCAATGCTCGTGTCTTTTGCTATAACAGATCGGATGGTAAATATATCAATAAACCCACCGTCTCGTCGTTCGGATGGAATGAAAACCTGAGGTCACGTAGACACGTTGGCCTGGACGTAAAACGACTCTTCGTGCACATTCTCCTTAGTCGTTCTCGTCGTCATTAGCCCAGTCGGCGCAGAACAGTAGCCTGTTAAAAGCCAATTTCCTTGCATTTCATTTCTTTCGTCGTTCGTATAAGACGAAACAAACCCGAGACCTCAAGTACACCAAAAAGAACCACTGGCAAATGGAATAGAATAGCTTTACAGTACACTGTATAGCGTATGCCTTCATTTGCCTGGTTGTTACATAAAAGCAGGAGTTAAACCCCATTCCACCCATACATTCATTTCCACTTTTGTGTTCGTTCTAGCTATAGTATAACACATGCGTGCATTTTACTTTTACAGCTAACGAGTACAGGTTAGAAAATGGTGATCATGGGAGACTTATCCGTAACAAGGATAACCAAGAAGGTTACGTTTGTGATTTTATTAGGTTCTATGATCAGGAGGCTACAGTAGTTTGCAAAACTCTCGGCTTTAACAGAGGTGAACGGTTAGAATCCTCCAGCCTTCCTGAAGGTAAATATAATCTATCACTTCTCTGCAGTCTGTGGGCATCAACGAAATACGATGGCTGTTTAAATATATCCTAATTCAGCAAAGATTGGGTATCGTGATTAAATTAAGAGATTTGCTGGTGCACATGTATCAGGATTATACAGAATCATAGTGGATGTACTTGACAGGGGGTAGGATCGCCGGTCACCTTTCTCCAGGTCCTTCGGTTTCCTCCCACTGCTAAATACGCCTACGCACAAACGAATTATTGAAATAAAAAAATGAACCATATGTCGGTCCCGAAATGACCTAGTTTGTGTCGAGTGGACGTTAAACACTCATTTCTCTCTCTCACTCTAGTTTCAATGCAAAGGAACTGTATAAATAGGCAAGATATGAGTAATCGGGATTACTTTGTTCGGGCTTTCTGCAAAGAGTAAGGGATTCTGTTAGATTCAGAGTTTTCTTTCCTTGTTTTCATGTTTGTTAAATTATTAAATTCATGAATATGTCGTTTGTCACTCCATTTCATAAATCTTTTAGGAACTAAATGGTGGGGTGTGCAGTTAAGCTGTTTTTATGGAAGCTCTACAATTGAATCCTGTAAAGTTTCTGACTGGTCATATAGCTACAATGCAAGTTTAAACTCGACCAGGTCTGAATTTGATAAATGCCGTAATACTTCTTATGCTATTTCGGTTTCCTGTTACGGACAAGGTAATTACTGATTTTTGCGAATTTGCTGATACTGCTCGCACAAGGAAAGATGCAAAGGCATGTCCTTAACAAGCATACACAGAAATGATAATTAATTACACAGTGTATCCTTAAATATAAGACAAATAATTGAAAAATGAAATTATAATATTACATGAAAAACATGCAGATCGGAGCATGCATGGGCTGCAGGGAATCGCTTTGTGGTGTACCTATAATTATACCTTTGTCTAATATTCTCTTGTTTCCCATAAGCAAATTCATTTCCGTCTTTGACACAGCTCTCAAAAAGCAAAGGTATCGATCTTTATTTGATGATTTAGTTTTAATTTTACATTTATAGATGTATTATTTGGTCAGAAGGATAAGGTGATTTACAAATAACCATTATGTTTGAAACTAAACATCTCTATATTGTGTACTCCTAAATGCATTGCTTCTTGACAGATACCGATATTAATATTATTTTTATTTGGATTTCAGACAGGTTGTTTAATATTATTTGTGTTGCGTGACATAGGTAGGATTATATAGTGCAGCTGGGTTTCAAGTCATGAGTTACAGAGATTACATAGCGAGTTAATTTGAGTTTACATAGTAAATCACCATAGATCACTTTTTGTTTACTAGTAGATCACCAAGTTTTATATATAACAATTTTATTTATGTCATTTGCAACACATAAAAGACAACAGCTGCTACGGTATGCAAAAGTACGTGTACAGCAAACATTTGGTAGCTATGTGAACTCAACAGATAACGATGCAGTTTTCGTTTAAATAATGAATGCAAAAGTACATGTACAGCAACAATTTGTTAGCTCTGTGTACTCCAAAAATAACAATTACGCTATCTGATCTATAGTATATCAATGGTGGTATATTGTTAATGTATTTAATCCCCTTTTACCCCCTGGTGCTTGCACCATAAGGGATCCAATTTCCGATCTCGTGCCCTTCATCACCGAAATGAACCGTTCGGGACTGAGATCACCCCTTTATGACCGCAACTTGACGAAGCAATCTGAACACAATGTGGTTGTTCTAGAGGTAGTCAAACTTGTTATTATATTTTGTATTGAGTAACTGAATTCACCAGGTTGATCGAATATACATATATCCTTTTAATGGCAATTTGCTTTCAATTTTTTCTAGTGCGTCTGCATGATGATTCAAATAATATTGGTATTGTCCTAGTTCGTACAGGTAACAATGAAAGAGGGGCTTTTTGTGCGGATGGGTTTGATTTGACAGATGGCGATGTGGCTTGTAGAGAAATAGGATATTCTGGTATCAGTCGTATTGTTGCTGCCTCTACCTTTTCACATCTTAATTACAGTATTGTGTCTTATAATTATGACTGTGTGGGCGGCGAAATGTCTTTATTAAATTGTTCAAATATCAATCAAACGAACTGTGCATCACGAAATTATGCAACCATTGAATGTATTCCTAACACAACACCATCACCAACTATAAGATCTACCTATCCAGGTAGCAGTAACAATCCTAACTACAGTAAAGTCACTTCTATTAGCAACGTGTCTGGTAAGTCGAAATATTTATTTATATATATTTTAATGTAAGAAGGGGCCATTGTTTAAGATAGATATAAGACCGAAAGATTTGGGTGCTGCAAATGGAGGAGGAAGGCCATATACAACCCACATCTAAAATACAAGTCGCTACAATGAAGATGGGATACATATTCAGAAAGATAATCAGAGTGAAAATTCTCAAGTCCGTCAAACCGCATATTCCTGAAGCAATGGCCCGAGAAATCCCCCTCTGGCCATTGCTGGGTTAGCTTCTGATACTTGCGCTTTTGAGAGAGTGTGTCTATTCTTCCAGTTCAATCAAATCTATCCCCAAACACAGCAACATGACAGCCCTTCTTTTAATCAGGGGCCTTCCCTAAAACTTTGGACAGTGATTTAAGGTATGTAAAACGGTGAAAGTGTCTCAAAACAATATTGTTTACATATATCCACGTAGTAAAAATCGTGTTGACAGTTGATAGTCTTGTTTGTCACACAATTAGTTTTTCTGCAATATTCTGCTATGCACTAGTTAATTGGACATAATAAAATCGTTAGTCATGACGTAACGTTATGTAAACATATTTGGTCCAATTTGGAGCTCTGTTTGGTATTGTTACGCAGTAAGCTATTGGTTGTTAATCGGACTATTGACCAGTCATAATTTAGAACAAGAATTTGCTTTGTTTATAGCAGTGAGTAGTGGGATTAGCTCTAATTAAACGAAACACTCCGAGGAGTATGGTCAAACCGATGTGCATAATATAAGTAGTAATACATGTACACAGTAAGACGATTCCATTCCGCTGATACAAATGTACAAAGTATTCAACAACCAAAACGAAAAAATAAACCCTAATTTCAGGTTCTACTAGTAAGCCGATGTCTGGAGATAGCACTGATGGCACCGATAGCACTGATAGCATCAACAATACCAAAGGTAAGCTCAAAGGTCCATATCTAAATTTTAAACATAAAAAAATATCAATATACATAATATTTATAGATAAATGTACAAACTAACATGAAACATAATTTGAGATACGAAATATAGCACACCAATAGGATACTTGCAAGTAAATACATACATGTACATAGTTTTCATCGACCAAGACTCATCATTAACCATAATTTCAGGTTCCACTGTTAATTGGGGGACTGGAGATAGCACTGATAGCTTCAACAATACCAAAGGTAAACTCAAAGATCCTTATTAAAAAAATCACTTCATGTGAATAATATTAGTAATATAAGTGAACAAGAATATGAATCTTAATTTCAGGGTCTACCAGCAAGCCGACGTCTGGTGGTCCAAACAACAGCACCAAAAATAACAACAACGCCGGCAGCATTAACAATCACGCAGGTAAAAGCATCGAATTCAATAATATCAAGGGATCAATAGGATCCACTCTATATGGTTTGCAGTTATGTGATATAACAGCTATATAAACAGATACTGAGTGCGTTATATTTTTGCAAGCAAGTCATGCGAACCAGGTGGAAAGTGTGTAAACTCATACCCTACACACTACAATTGTGGTGGACTCGAAATTCAAAATTGTTAGATGGAGGCAGACCACCATTAGATTTCACCATCTCGCTACACTGTTAATAGGTTGGTTACGGTGATCTATACGGCGAATGTTTTTAATATGTTACTTCAAAATATTGGTGGTCAACCTCATACAAATTTTGGTGCAAAGACATGACCATTTGTTTTTCTGTCTGTAGTAAAAAGCATTAACCCCAACGAAAATTTGGGGAAAAGTTAGAGCCGGGCTAAGAGAAAGAATTAACATTGAAGATAATAGGGAAATTACTGGTGGTCTGCCTCAGGTAGATATTTTTTTTCAGCGTTTTCACCCCATTTCCCAGACGATAAACAGGTCATAATTCTTTGGAATAGAATTACTGCTTATAATACCTTAGCCACATTTCGACTAGGCTTCTATAGTCATTATCAAGCAATGATAAAATATGAAATAAACAAAGCAATATAAACACGTAAGCAATACTGAGCATTGTTCTTGATTATGTTTTTGTAAAATTGTCCATTAGGGTATGTGGGAGAATGAAATTGAGATTGAATTTTAAATTTTGTACGCGTTTAGCGGCGTGATCTTTCCCATCATATTTCAATCGCACAAATTAATGCATATTATTGATATTGTTTTCGACTATGTGTGGCACTTTAATTTGTTTATTATTTACTTATTTTAGCTGTAATTATGTATCTTTATCTTTCGTTTAGTGTCAAGGTTCCGGATGTTTGTCTGTGCATTGGTAGTTGTGTTATTGTCCCAGATTTAACATACAGAATTATAGGTGTATCCACTGAACAAAATAAAATGTTAATAAAATAAATAAATATAATGATGAAAATAGAAGATATTAAATATTATGAAGCCTTGTTGAATATTTACACACTTTGTAAAATGCCATGTTCTAAAAACGGTCATAGGAAACCAATACATTTTGATATTGATAGACATGTTATGCCAATGCCTTTTGAGATAGATATTATGATAGACTTAAAGCATTGAACATATATATTGCATAGGTGTAACGTTATACCCATATGTGGTAAAACCACGGACCTGTATTATAAGGTTCATGGTAAAACTCTACACCAACGGTAAGTATCAAACTTACGAAATATATATTATCACAAGTATATACGTATGACACTACCACCCTGTGACACCAAATCCCTTCCAATGAAGGGGGTTGGATGGCTGGATGGAACTCAAAGCTTTGCATATAGTTTCGTATTAATGTATTTGATACATTAAAACAACAAAAACATTATAAGGGGCTATATTGTTTTGTTAAAATAAGGCGAACAGTTTTGAGTAAATTCTTAACTTAAGTCTGAGAATTCTTTGTGAACACGGGGCCTGATCTATATTTTGTCATTCAAAACAAAAATTATCCATCGTACAAAAACAAAAAAAAAGTATTCGGATGACTGTTTCAGGTGTTTCTTTTATAAGAGTAAATGTCTTTTAACAAGGTCAAGCTTTATTTCTTTTCTGGGTGTTTATTGTTGACGATTGTGAACGCATTACCCCGTGATTAGTAGTTCTGCACTGTTTGTTTAATCTGTGTTTTCTGTGGGTGTTTTTCAACGCCAGTGGCTGTTTTAAACGGCTGTATTATATACCGAAGAATTCCGAAACAATCGGAAAAATACCGAAAAGAATCCGATAAAAATACCGTAAAAAGACCGACAATTGTTTTTGATAATTATCGAAATGATCTGAAAACCCTATATACCTAAAAATCACTAAATACCTAAGAAACAACACAAATTTCCGAGAAAAAAAACTCTAGGCCACGCATAAATATTCTGTGGGTCATGGGTCAAACTAGACCACGTATAAATATTGCGGGGAACTCTATGCCACGCATGAAAATGGTGGACACGCTAGGTCGGTAATTTGTAGCTCTAGGCCACGCATAAGATTTGTTGGGCACTGTAGGTGGGCCATGGGTCTATGCCACTTATGACAATTGTGGGACATTCTGGGCGGGCAATGGGTTAGGGTTACTGATACAGTATTTTTAGTCTGTGGTGTTTTTTACCACAGGAGTTCCACAAGAAATTGGAAGATTTTGTGGAATGTGGTACCACACAGCCATATAGGGAGGTCTGAGAAGAAAATTTTGAAAAAAAAATGATATTTTTTCTAAGTACAATTTCTTGTGGAACTCTTGTGGTAAAAAACACCACAGACCAAAAACACTGTATCAAAATTATTCTAAGTCGAAAATTTTGTGGAATTGATTTTTTTTCTAAGCCCAATATCTTGTCGAACTCTTGTGGTAAAAAAACACCACAGACCAAAAACACTGTATCAAAATTATTCTAAGCCGAAAATTTTGTGGAATGTGGTACAACACAGGCACATAGGGAGGTCTGAGAAGAATTTTTTGAAAAAAAATGATATTTTATCTAAGTCTAATATCTTATAGAACTCTTGTGGTGAAAAACACCACAGACCCAAAATTTTGTGGAATGTGGTACCACACAGCCATATAGGGAGGTCTGTGGAACTCTTTTGGTAAAAACTATTATTGTTCCAGCGAAATAAAAAGAAAATGTGTTTTAAATATTTCATTGTCCACTTTTCCAAACGCCCCCAAACCTTGCCATGTCTAATCCGAGAACCTAATGGGGTCCCTAATTTTTCAGTATTTCGGTATTTAAGTTTCTTTCGGTCACATAGTGTTGTTTTCTTTCTGGTATTTAGATTTCAGATTTTTTCCGGTAATTAGTATTAAAAAAAAATGTCTTGTTTTGAAACCAATCTAGCACGGGTATTTAGCACCAACCTGGTTAATGAATACATAAAAAGTTAATCTTTGCATAACTGAATAAATCTAAAATAAGAGGATTAAATGTACAATGAACGTGTCTGATTTTTAAAGATGTAAATGCGATTATATAGTTCAAAACGACTAATTAAATGTATTTTATCGTGGTTATAATACAGCTCCCCAAACAACGCACTGTTTCCGTTTGATCAAACTCGACTCTTTATTTACCAGGTTGTTTGTTTGAGTTAAATCTAAGATTACTGTGATTTATTGATTAGAATGATTTCTGAAAATGCCAAAAGCAACATTAAGTTGATTTAACAGATAAAAAATGATATGTTCTGGTATTAAGAAAGTATATATAAAAGAGAACGTGTGTTAATTAACTATTTTAAAATACTTTCAAAGTAACCCGGTGTTATACAAGAAAATTAATGATGGTTTTATGATTTTTTACTTGGTGTAGTACAATTAGTAAAATTAATTGGACAATTAACGATTATTGCGTTATGGTTGTCAGAAACACTGAGGTTTTTCTTTAGTGCAATGCCGGGTAACTAAACTCGTATAGAGCCGTATAGTAATAATCTGAATATTAATAGTTATAACAACTGATGTGTTCATCTGCGATACAAGGAGTGGCATGCAATGAAATAGGGTTAAACCTCTTACTTTTCTTCTCCAATTATACGCCATACAGTGTGTCACGAGGGAGATTTTGTCGGACAGTGGTGCTACTCTTTTGAATTCCAACTGTCAGTAAGACAGTTACGTGTACGCAAATGTGTACATGGGACCACGTTTTTTCGTCCCATCCGAACAACTAGACACTGTTCCTTGCCAGACACTCGGTCCTGTACCACTGATTGGAGGAATCCACATTGGAAAAGCCCAAAAAACCTTCTCGGCCAATAAGGGCAGGGGCGCAGATCGCCAAAAAATTGTGGTGGGGACAGTCCATGCGCGGGCGACTATTGGTAAAGAGGGGGGGGGGGTCCTTCCCCGAAAGTTTTTGAAAACTAGACGCTCTAAAACGCACTCTGTGGGTATTTTCAGCATCATTTTCTGGCAAACAATTCTAATCCCTGATGCAGCAAATTATACGAAATCTATTCTATAGGCAAACCTTGAAGCCACCGTTCACGATTTATTCTCTCATGGACACTACAAGAACTAGAAATATTTACACTAAAGAGATCCCAGCTCTGCCTCCATTCCCAGTAGTGTTCGATCCGAATAACAATTTAAACAATATTTTCTTTAGAAATTTATAAGTGTTCATACAGGGTCGGGCCTGTCAGTCTCTTCTCTGTCAGTAAACTGGTGGTTATATACCTTTCAACTGGATCTACACACACGAGATCATTACTATATATGGCATTAATTTCTCTGACTGATATAAATATATACATGTGGAATTGATCTCTTTAATTAGTGCGTCGTGTTTAGAACAAAGTGTATACAGGAAAAGCCGATATCATATTATCAAAACCAGCTGTGGTCAATAAGTTCACTGCATCTAAATAATAGTTCGTATTTTATAAAATAGAATATTAAGCACTTCATCTCATTCTCATTTACCAAAATAAATAACTAACACAATTCTCAAAGGTGGGACACTGGTTTCATATGTATTACATGATAAAATACACAATAAAGTAACATCACACACGATATCATAACAACACACACGATATAAACGTTATTTCTAAACATCACAAAAAGGCAATTCACACAATCAAAATATAATTTTAAGAAAGAATAGCAAATATTTTTATAAAATACAAAACGTACATATATAGAAAAACAATTAACATAGGATTTTGTCATATAGTTTTTAATTGCGATAGATGAAAATGAATGATTTGAACACATTTTACTAATCTTAAGATATTTTTCAAAGAACTTATCAGATTACCATTTGTTTATCTCTCTAAGTTTCGAACAAGACACAAAAACAAAACATAACATTCGCTTCTAATTTAAGCGCGATCCGTCTTCCTTTAAGGTATAAACCGATTTTTCTTAATAGGAATACAAAGCTCTCGAATTTACGAGGTAAAACTCTCCCGTTATGTCGGGGTATATACAAACCACAGGAGATAAAACCGTGAATACTTTGTGAATGTTTATGAGTTAATATCTTCACCGCAAACACGATGAAAAATCTATTCACCCGTCTATTCAACAACTTCCAGCCAAAAGTCTCAGAACGCTTATGATCGATATGGGCATCCTAAATTTTGACAGAGATCCGCTAAAAATACAGCCGCTATCGCGTTCACGAGGTTTTCGGAAAAGGGGGATAACTCTGGTACAAAAGGCCACAAAACGTTGAATGTCGATAGGATTCGTCCTTCATGACTACGATGCTTCACGTCGAAAACTGTTGCCAATCTGTTAAAAATTTTAGGACATATCGCGTTCACAAGGTTTTCGGCAAAGGGAGATAACTCCGCAACGGAAAGTCGTGGGAAGCTGAAAATTGACGAGGTTTGTCCTCCATGACCCCAATGCTTATAACCAAATTTGATATAAAAAAAAACGTTACAAATTGTAGCCTCTATCACGTTCACAAGGTTTTCGGTTAAGGGGGATAATTCCGGAACGGAAAGTCGAAGAACGCTGAACATCAATAGGGTCTCGTCCTCGCATGACCACAATGGCTCAAACAAAATTAAACGAAAAAATAAAAACGTCGAAAACTGCGCGTGCTCACAAAGGGGATAACTATAGAACGGGAGTCGCAGAAGGCTAAACATTAATCTGTTAAAAACTAACTATAGTCAGTTGGTGTGGTTTCGATTCCCCGGTTGTACGTGACAAGGAGTAGGATCGCCTGTCCAACCTCGTGGGTTTTCTCCGGGTCCTCCGGTTTCCTCCCACTGCTAAAGACCCCTACGCGCAAGCAAATTATTGAAATAAAATTAAAGCATACTTTAGTTCCGAAATGATATAGTTTGTGTCGTGGGACGTTAAACCCCATTTCTCTCTCTCTCTCCCAATCTGTTAAAACTTTA